AAAGGCAGTAATAACACACACATTTATACAACACACACACACACATATTTCCCATCATGTTATGAGTTTGAGAAGTTTGGGGCTAAAGAAAGATTAAAAGATTCTTCTCTGGAAGACCCTGATAGCCTAATCTCCAGAAGAGAGAAAAGGTATAAGCTACTTCTCAAAAAGTATTTACCATGAAACTCTTTTTGTAGAACACCTACCAACATTTGCAGGGACACAAGTATATTTGTGACCGCAGGCATGTTATGAATCTTCCTGAATCACAGCCTCCCAATCCGCAGGATGGGGGTAATATTTGTCTTGTAAGGTTACTGTGGATAGTAAGGCTGTATTGGAAGCACCACTGTTAGTGCTTGACTCATAGAAAGGGTTCAAGAGCTCAAACAATGTTTCCCTTTAAAATTTAAAAACAATGTTTTCCTTTTAAAACAACTATTCTCTTTTAAAATTTTTAGTTCATTATGTCATTTTTCTTGATATATCATTATACTAATATTTAGCCATTTAAATCCATAAAACCGCTCATGTTTGTCTTCATTTTTCCGTAGAATGACGAGGCATCTTCTTTCCTATGGTTCTTTCTTTATTCTTCACAGTATGCACCTTAACCTAAAATTATCTTAGTCTTATATCTAAATTCCACTTTGCCAGCTAGTTTTGATTAAATTCAGTTCAACAGCGGTTGCTTGAGAATTGCCGGTCAGCACATTGACCTGGGCTGCCTTTTCCAACCCTTTGCTCACTTCTCTGAGTGCCAACTCTTCAGGTCCATGGGTTTCAGACTTGCTTTAACTATCTCAACCCAATCTATAAATCAGACCCACAGCTCTTGCCCACTGAGATGAACAGCTGTTTATAATACAGTAATTACTACGGATGAGAACTCAATCTCAAAGCTGACATTTGCAAAAGTTTTTCAGTTTTTTTTTTTTCTGTCTCTTGCAATTTTGCCTGTGGTAGAAATTGAAAAAAAGGACTAAAGAAACACATGAAAATGAGACAGGGATCAGGACCATATTGGCAACTTCTCTGTTTTGGTGGACCCCCTCTTCATACAAAAGTAGCACTGCCTCTCTGTGGCTCCCAACCAGGTGTCTGAGGGTAGTCCCAGAGAATGCCCCAGCTGCCTCTTTCAGCTGGTATGTGCAGTGACCCAGAAATGAGCAAAGAGGAAAAGGAAGGAAGCTAGTGGGGTGAGAAGATGTGCCCAAGATAGCACTTTTTTTTTTTTTGAGACAGAGTCTCACTCTGTTGCCTGGCTCAAGTGCAATGGCATCATTGTAGTTCACTGCAACCTCAGACTCCTGGGCTCAAGTGATCTTCCTGCTTCAGCCTCCCTAGGAACTGGACTACAGGCGTGCACCACGGCATTCTGCTATTTTTTTTTATCTTTTGTAGAGATGGGGTCTTGATCTTGTTCAGACTAGTCTCGAGCTCCTTGCCTCAAGCAATCCTCTCACCTTGGTCTCCCAAAGTTAGAGGATTACAGGCATGAGCCACCAAGCCTGACCAGCACATTTTTAAAAAAAATAACAATTCCTAATCATTTGGAGTATTAGAACCTATTTCTATTTATTTTCTCATTGCCCCTCCCCCATAATAATTAGTCTACAGAAAATGCTATGTTAGGAAATCATGAGTAGCAGTAGAACTTTTGCAATAACTCTGAGTCCACCCTTTCCTCCCCTTTGGGAATCTGTGGTCCCCAGCCTGGGTATGCACCTTAGAGACAGGTAGGTAGTACCTGCAGGTTAGTTATCCTGATCCTACTCAAACACAGATGGGAAATCAGTACCCTTTCCTGCCTCTAAGTGTCCTTTATGACTTCAAAGCAGACTTGTTTTCTCAATCTTAAAGAAGGAAGCTGTGTTAGACCTATAATTTCATGCTCATAAACAATTATCATTTGTTTTGATAAATAACTTGTGTGCATGTGTATGTGAGTGTGTGAATTATATTGTCAAATTTTCAAGGAGACAGCATTAATCTTTAACACTCCCATCTGTTCCTAATTTTCTTCATAAAATACAGGCTTATCCAGAATTTTCTGGAGATATTGTGGGCTTGAGTCTAGACCACTGCAATAAAGCGAATATCACAATAAAGTGAGTCACACAAAGTTTTTGGTTTCCCAGTGCTAATAAAAGTTATGTTTATACAACACTGTAGCCTATTAACTGTGCAATGGCATTATGTCTAAAAAAGTGTACATACCTTAATTAAAAAAATACTTCATTGCTAAAAAATGCTAATGAGCATCTGAGCCTTCAGCAAGTCATAATCTTTCTTCTGGCAGAGTCTTGCCTCAGTGTTTATGGCTGCTGACTGATGGGGCTGGGGTGGTTGGTGAAGGCCAAAGTAACTGTAGCAATTTCCTAAAATAACAATGAAGTTCACTGCATCAATTGACTCTTCCTTTTACAAGAGATTTCTCTGTAGCGTGTGGTGCTATTTAATAGCATTTTACCCACAGTAGAACTTTTTTTCAAAATTGAAGTCAACCTGTCACTCCTTTCAGGTCCTGCCATTCTCTATCAGCTAAGTAATATTATAAATCCTTTGTTATTATTTTAACAACATTCACAGCATCTTTGCTAGCAGTAGTTTCCATTTCAAGAAACCACTTTGTTTATTCATAAAATGCAACTCCTCATCTGTTCAAGTGTTATCATGAGATTGCAGCAGTTCATCTTTAAGGCTCCACTTCTAATTCTAGTTCTCTTGCCATTTCTACCACATCCACAGTTACTTCCTTTACTGAAGTCTTGAACCCCTAAGAGTAACCTATGAAAGTTGGAATCAAGTTTTTTTCCAAACTCCTGCTCATGTTGATATTTTGGCCTCCTCCCATGAGTCACAAATGTTCTTAATAACATCTAGAAGGATGAATCCTTTCCAGAAGGTTTTTAATTTGCTTTGCACAGATCTATCAGAGAAATCACTATCTATGGCAGCTATAGTCTACAAAACGTGTTTCTTAAACAATTAGACTTGAAAGTCAAAATTACTCCCTGCAGAATGGATATTGTGTTAGCAAACATGAAAACATTAATCTTCTTGTACACCTCCATCAGGGTTCTTGGGGAACCAGGTACATTATTAATGAACAGTAGTATTTTGAAAAAAATCTTTTTTTCTGAGCAGTAGTTCTCAATATTGGGTTTAAAATATTCAGTAAACCATGCTGTAAACAGATGTGTTGTCATCCGGGCTTTGTTGTTCCATTTATAGAGCACAGGCAGGGTAGATTTAACAGAATTCTGATTGGCCCTAGGATTTTCAGAATGGTAAATGAACAGTGGCTTTAACCACTTTGGTATGGCGCTCGCCGGCTGCAAAACCGAGCCCACAGCCGGGCGCTCATAGTCCGCCCGATAGTGTGTGCTGTGCATTGAGGACGCATCCGTCTTGCTCTTGTGTGATGAGGAAAGCCTGAAAGCACTGAAAGCTTGTTTTACTTTACAGGTATTGTAAATCAGAATAGGCAGCTTTACTTGTAATGTAAATAAGAACAGGTAGCATATACATATATGTTTTCATTACTTTATTTTTCAATGCTCACAATTTTATTTTGATAAATGAAAAATTAGAAAAGTCATATCACGGCTGTCGGCTAAAGTCGCCGTGCGCGTTCATCTGTGGTGATCAAATAGTCGATGCTGGGCTGTGCGCGTTCATCTGCGGCTGTCGACTATAGTCGACGCTCGTACCAAAGTGGTTAACTTGAAGTCACCAGCTGCAGCAGCCCTTGATAAGAGAGTCAGCACCTGTCCTTTGAAGCTTTGAAGCCAGACATTGACTTCTCCTGTCTAGCTACGAGAATCCTAGATGGCACTTTCTTCCAATAAGGCCATTTCACCTACACTGAAAAGCAGTCTTTTTGTGTAGCCACCTTCTTCAATGATCTTAGCTAGATCTTCTGGATAACTTGCTGCAGCTATGACATCAGCGCTTGCTGTTTCAACTTGCACTTTTATGTTATGGAGGTGGCTTCTTTCCTTGAACCTTATGAACCATCTTGTGCTGGTTTCCATCTTTTCTTCTGCAGTTTCTTTACCCCTTTCAACCTTTTCAGAATTGAAGAGAGTTTATGGCCTTTCTCTGGATTAGACTCTGTCTTAAAGGAATGGAATGCTGTGATTGGTTTGATCTATCCAGACCACTCAAACATTTTCCATATCAGCAATAAGGCGGTTTCACTTTCTTACTGCTTATGTATTCACTGGAGTAGCACTTTTAATTTCCTTCCAGAACTTTTTCTTTGCAGTCACAACTTGGCTAACTGGCATAAGAAGCCTAGCTTTTAGCCTATTTTTGGCTTTTGATATGTCTTCCTCACTAAGCATAATATCTAGCTTTTGATTTAAAGTCAGAGACGTGTGATTCTTCCTTTCACTTTGAACACATAGAAGCCATTGTAGGGTTATGAACTGGCCTAATTTCAGCATGGTTGAATCTCAGGGAATTGGAGGCCTGAGGAGTGGGAGAGAGATGGGAGGCATCCAGTCACTGGAACAGTCAGAACTCACACAACATTTATTAAGTTCACCGTCTTATATGGGTGAGGTTCGTGGCGCCCCAAAGCAATTACAATAGTAACATCAAAGATCACTGATCACAGATCACCATAACAGATATAATAATTATGAAAAAGTTTGAAATATCATGAGAATTACCAAAATCTGACACAGAGACATGAAGTGAGCACATGCTGTTGGAAAATGGTACCGACAGACTTGCTTAATGCAGGGTTGCCACAAATCTTCAATTTGTAAAAAACAGGATATCTTAGAAGTGCATTAAAGTCAAGTGCACTAAAATGAGGTATGCCTATATGAAATAATAGTAGCATTTGAACACAAGGGTTGTTTTACCATCAAAAGTTGTCAGGGAAGAAACTAAATATCTGAGAGTTGAATTTCTGATTAGACAGTTTTTTTTTTTTTTTTTTTTTTGCTTCTTAAAGCAAGTGATAAGCTAATATTGGATGTGAGACAATTCAAATATTTCTTTTAATATTCTAAAACATTCTTATGATTAGCTTTATGAATAACACTATTATAGACCTAGCTGGTGTAATCGAAAGAGAATGGATTTTGTCATCCTACAGACCTGAATTTTAACCACCCTCTGCCCTTCACTAGTTCTATAACCTTGAGCAACTTATTTAACTTTCTAAGCTCAGGCTTCCTACTCCATTTGCTATAGATACGACTGTCTCATTGAGCTGTTGGTAGAATGATGGCGGAAATCATATATAAAGGGAAAAACAGGGCTTGGCCTTTCCCAGGTTTCTTCTTGAGGACAGATGGAAGACTAGTTGAATGCTTGATAGCATTCAGCCAGCTCAATTTTCAGAATGTTCAGAAATGTAGGCTCCAATGAACAACCTAGCAAGCTAGACAAATGTCAGAATTTTGGGTTTGAGCCAGGTTTTTTTTTTGTTTTTGGCAGTCATCCATGTCATATTTTTAAGGGCCCTAACACCGGAAGTCAGAAATAAAGGAAAAGCATAGTACTAGTTGAGAGGATTACATAGGCTTATAGAAGAAGCTAATCAAATGGAATTGGTGTGAGCTATATACTAACATAGTTTCAAGGGCAGAGGATTTTAAATCTACTCTTAACGTGCCTACCTCTGTAGCCTTCGGTGTTCCTTTTAGCTATTTTAATGGTAAATAATGCTTCTCATGAATATTGAAATATCTCATGCAAAAATGAGTCTTCTGGAAACATTTTCCATTCTTTTTTTGGGTTAGAACTTTGAACAACTTTCTTTGTGATTAGATGTAAAGGCGTTATTTCCTTTTTTCTCTTGGTTATATAGGATGTAAGTCTTTCAGACATTAAAATGTCAAGAACCCACATGGATGTGGATGAGATCCCTGAAGAGAAATGTCAAAATGCCTCACCTTTTGACTCTGTTAATGAAGGCTCTCTTTATATGATGTGTGTTGTCATGGTGATGAGGAACAAGGACAGAATTCGGAAGGGATTAGAGAAGACATCATAGCGTGGTAAAGGGGCTTAGCATATATAAGCTGTGGAGAAAAGTGCATCACACAGTCTCGGACATCACACAGCCTGCTTACAGGGTACTGGCAGACATTATAAAAAACAACAAATAGCTGAAGATTCTATGAGCTGGACTGGGTGTCTATGTTACATAAATTATAACTTAGAGGCTGAGAGTGGGAGTTGGGTGTGAAAATTGTCCTGGGAGTTTCAACACCTGGAGGTACTTTGAGATAGGTTGGTGGGGGTACAGATATATCAAACCATACACTTTATTGACACACCTAAAATATCAATTCAACACATTTGAAAACTTCCTTAACACTTGTGCACTCAGGACTCTGATGGTTGCTGTAGGATACATGAAAGAGATAGGGTGTTATCCCTTACTTAAAGGAGGGAATGATCAAATATCAAATGCAAATTTAATTTTATTATTTACTAATGAATCCTTTAAAAATTCTGTGTAAGAAACTTTGGGAATCAGTCTTAGAAACCTGTACCAAGCACCAATTTCTCAAAAATTTATTTTTTCTTAGTTATAATTAATAAAAATATAACTGCATTGATAATACCTGTATAATACATTTAAAAATGTGTACATTGTACTATAGAATGTTTCATCAATGTTTCATTTACTAACTTCGTTATTTTTTTGTCAAACCTCAAACCACCTGTAATAGATTTACTTGTTATTTAAAACAAACCCAGTTTCTTTTAATTTAAATTAATTTATTTGAAAAAGAAATGGAAACTTGAAAACAAATACTGCTTGCCATTTTAGAATGTAATCGTAAAATTATGTGCAATGAGAATAAAATAATCTAATTAAATTATAGATAAATACTGTTGCCTGCTGAAGGGAGGAATATGACCTACTATTCCTTTGCTTAAAAAGGAGAATGATAAGAGCTAAAAAGCTGTGTAACCATACTGACACCAAACAGAGATTTTCTTATTTATATAATTAGGAGGATTAAAAAAATTGAAGGACTAAATTTCATATTATGTGATTTAATATTATTTAATGCAAGTCCATCTATTGTCACCATGTTTCACACTTTGGAATTCACTGCCTGAAGGCTTGCAAGGTTAAGTTTATATACTGAATTTTGTTTAGCTTTACAACACTAACAAGTTATGTATTTATTAACCCCAATTTACAGATGAGAAAACAAAGACACAAACAGGTTAAAAGATCCTCCTCTGTTTAGTCAGTATTAGATATAGACACAAATCCAGATTTCTAAGAAACAAAAATCATTTTCCATTGCATGATCCTTATATTATTATCTACACATTATGATGCATTATATACTATATGACAAATGTTTCAAGCTCTTTTATTATTAAGTATCTCAAATAGTTAAGTAACAATAGAAATGATCAAATATTTTTATATCAAGATACAATAAGCTGATTTTTCTTACTTTAATACCCCAATGATAAGCATTTTGTTAATTGAAATAAAGAAATAAAGACTCTGCTAATGATTTGTTTCAATAGGCATACAAATTGGTAAGTAAATTTTATTCATTTGTTTTTTTTTTCTTTGAAGGAAAAAACTATCTCCATGCAATTTATTAATTTTATTTTTTCAAGAAAATATTTAGCCGCTAGTATATTAGAATATAAACACTAAATATTTAATAAAATAAATATATTCCCAATTGTGCCATTTACCTGCATTTGAAATAGAGCTCTGTATTTTTTTTCCAATTTATATAAAGTTAGACAAAAAAAAAATTCTCATTACACCCATGACAGTTGGGAATAAGATGCTAGACAAAGAACAATGCTGTTGACAAAATTCTTTTTTTAAAAGAAATATTTTAATAGGCTCATCAGATCATTTGAATACTCTTCTATGATGCTGCACCAAAAACTCACGTTGTAATTTCATAAATATGAGATGCAAGTGAAATGTGAAACCATATCAATAGACTTTTCATAATCTGTTACATTAAAATTGATTGGTTTATCTTGCACTTTGCATGGATCTTTTATTTTTTTTAATTTAAAAATATTAAGGGGGTACAAATATTTTTGTTACATAGCTTTTATAATGCTTAAGTCAGGGCTATTAGTGTGCCCATCACCTGGATAGTGTTCATTGTACCTGCTATTTTAATAAGTGGATTTCTACCCTGCCTATCCACCCCCCTCCCCACCTCTTGATTTCCAATGACTTTTACTTCTCTCTGTGCCCATTGATTAGTTCCAAATTATTAGAGAATAAATGTAGTGTTTGTTCTTCCATTCTTGGATACTTTACTTAGGATCATTGTCTCTAGTTCCAACCAAATTGCTGCAAAAGATATTAATTCATTTCTTTTTGTGGCTGAGAAGTACTCCATAGTATCACAGTATATATGTATGTCATACACACACCCACACACATACCACATTTTCTTAATCCACTCACGAATTGATGGGCACGTAGGTTTCCACATCTTTGTGATTGTGAATTGTGCTACAATAAACATTGGAGTGTAGCTGTCTTTTTGATAAAATGACTTCTTTTCCTGTGGGTAAATACCCATTAGCGGGATTGCTGGATCAAATGGTAGGTCTCCATTTATTTCTTTGAGGAATCTCCATGCTGTTTTCCATAGAGGTTGTACTAATTTGCAGTCCCACCAACAGTTTATGAACATTTCTTTCTCTCTGAGTCTATGCCATCATCTATTGTTTTTGGACTTTTTAATGATGTCCTTTCTTAAAGGAGTAAGATGATATATCTCATTGATTTGCATTTCCTGGATGATTAGTGATGCTGAACATTTCTTTATATGTTTGTTGACCATTTGTCTTTCTTCTTTTGAAAAATTTCTGCTCATATCTTTTGCCTACCTTTAAATGACGTTGTTTGTTTTTTTCTTGCAGATTTGTCTGGATATTAGCCCTTTATCCAATGTATAGTTTCCAATATTTTCTTGAATTCTATTTACTCTGTTGATTATTTCTTTTGCTGTGCAGAAGCTTTTTAATGTAATCAACTCCCATTCATTTATTTTTGTGTTGTAATTGCCTTTGGGGTCTTAGTCATAAATTCCTTGCCTAGACTGATGTCTAGAAAAGATTTTTCTATATACTCTTCTAGAATTATTACGATTATGACTTACAATTAAGTCTTTTATCCATCTTGAATTCATTTTTGTAAACAGTGAGAGGTAGGGGTCCTTTTTCATTCTTCTACATGTGACTATCTAATTTTCCCAGCACTATTTATTGAATAGCGCTTACTTTCCCCACTGTGTGTTGTTGTCTGCTTTGTTGAAGCTCAGTTGGTTGTAGGTAGATAGTTTTATATCTGGATTCTCTGTTCTCTACTAATGGACTATGTCTTTGTTTATGTACCAATACCATGCTATTTGGATTACTATAGCCTTGTAGACTAATTTGAAGTCTGGTAATATGATGCATCCAGATTTGTTCTTTTTGGTTAAGATTGCTTTGGCTATTCAGGCTCCTTTGAGGTTTCAAATGAAGTATAGAATTATTGTTTTTAGATTTGTAAAATATAATGTTGGTATTTTGAGGGAGATTGTGTTGAATCTGTAAGAACATTGGGCAACATGGATATTTTAACAACATTGATTATACCAATCCATGAGCATGATGTATTTTTCCATTTGTTTGTGTCATCTGTGATTTCTTTCATCAGTGTTTTGTAGAGATCTTTCTCCTGTTTGGTTAAGTATATTCTTAAGAATTTTATTTTCTTTGTAGTTATTGTGTATGATATTGAATCTTTAATTGGATTCTCAGCTTGACTGTCATTAGTATATAGAAATGCTACTGATGGGTGCATTAATTTTGTAAGCTGAGACTTTGCTGAATTTATTTATCAATTATATGAGTCTTTTAGTGAAGTCTTTCTAGATACAAGATCATTATCATTTGCAAAAAGCAATTGTTTGAAACCCTCTTTACTGATTTGGATATCCTTTATTTCTTTCTCTTGCCCAATTTCTCAGGTTAGGACTTCCAGTAATATGTTAAATAGAAGTGGTCACAGTGAGCACCCTTGTCTTGTTCCAGGGCTTAGGGAGAATTATTTCAACTTTACTTCATTCAGTATGATTTTGGCTGTGGGACTGTCATATACGAATGTTATAATTTTGATGTATGATCCTTCCCAGAAGAGCCATCTGTAGGTAGGCATCCACTTGTAACTTCCAATTCTCTCCTTGACAGCAGCACCCACTGTCTGCTTCTAGTCTGCCATTTTCCCACCCACAAAATTCTTTATCACCGGAGAGTGACTAGCTCTTCCTGCAACTGCTTCCAGGTGGTCAGGAAACTGTCCATTTGATTTCCTATATAGTGTAATAGATATGTGGAGACATAAGATATTTGACTCCAGGTGGCAGTATAGAAAATGTACAGTGCCCTCAAATTTAGAGCAAGGAAAATGAAGTCTCCTAATGTTGAAGAAATATAAGGTGACAGCACAGGGGAAAGCAAAAATCTGAAGATCAGATTTGGAAAGGCTAAGGTTGAAAAAGGGTTGCAATTTTTGATAAATCCACAGATACTCAAGAGATCTTAGTTACATAAGGACAAGAATAAGATCATCAAAGGAACAGTCCTGGTGCTTGTGGTTTAGGGTGTAAGGCTGATTATTGACAAAGGAGAGTAGAACTCTCTAATCCCTATTTTTCTGTATCTTTTCTGTAAAAGAGACTTACATTCACACTAAACTGTGAAGAATAAACTTTGGTGAGGAGACATAGAAGATGAAAATATGGTAATATATTATGACATAATCCTACTGCTAAAAATGAGTTTAGGTTTATTGTTGTGGGAAAATTAAATGTCAGAGTACAATATTCTAGGGTGCAAACAATGACAGTGATATGTGAAGAAATTTTAAGGTTAAAGAGACAATGGAAGATAGAAAAATGCAAATGTAAGTTCACATTTAAAGAAGAGGGGAAAAAGGTGTATTCTGCCACATTGAAATTTAAGTTAATTCTCTGATCTTTAAGTATGGTACTGGGATAAAATTATACATATAGATCAATGTATCAGAATAGAGAATCTAAAAATAGAATAACACACCTACAACCAACTGATATTTGACAAAGCAGACAAAAACATACACTAGGGAAAAGATACCCAATTCAATAAATGGTGCTGGGAACATTGGATAGCCCTTTTTTATTCCATATGAAATTTAGAATTATTTTTTTTCTAATTTTGTGCAAAATGACATTGCTTTTTGATGAGAATTTCATTGAATCTGTAAATCACTTTGGGTAGTATGGACATTTTAATAACATGGATTTTTCCTGTCCATGAGCATGAGATGTTTTCCCGTAGGTTTGTGTCATCTACAATTTCTTTTATCAGAGTTTTCTAGTTCTCCTTGTAAAAATCTTTCACTTACTTGCTTAAGTATATTGTTAGGTATTTTGCTTTTTTGCAGCTATTGTAAATGTGATTGACTTCTTGATTTGATTTTCAGTTTGGCTGTTATTAGCATATAGAGATGCTACTTATTCATGTACATTGATTTTGTAACCTGAGACTTTACTCAGTTCATTTATCAATTGTAGGAGTTTTTTTGGAGAGGTCTTTGGGGTTTTCTAGATATAAGATCATATCATTAACAAATAAGAATAATTTAAATTTCTCTTTTCTAATTTGGATGTTCTGTCTTTCTTTCTCTTGCCTGATTTCTCTGGCTAGGACTTTCAGTACTCTGTTGAGTAGAAGTGGTGAAAGTGGGTATCCTTGTCTTATTCCAATTCCCAGTGGGAATGCTTTCAACTTTTCCCCATTCAGTATGATGTTGGGTATGCGTTTATCATATATGGTTTTTATTATTTTGAGGTATGTTCTTTTTACACTGAGTTTGTCAAGGGTTTTTATGATGAAAGGATGTTGGATTTTATCAAATACTTTTTCTGCATCTATTGAGGTGATCAAATGGTTTTAGTTTTTATTTCTATTTATGTGGTGAATCACATTTATTAATTTCCATATGTTGAACTATCCTGCTAAGGAGGGAATCCTCCCTAACTCATTCTATGAGGCCAGTATTACTCAGATACCAAAGCCAGAAAAGGACACAAGGAAAAAGAAAACTACAGACTAATATCTCTAATGAATATAGGTGCAAAATCCCTCAACAAAATACTAGCAAACTGAATCCAAAAGCACATCAAAATGATAACTCATCATAATCAACTGGTATGGCTTTTTAATTTTCCCCTTAGGAGAGAGACTTGAAGGCTAGCTAGCGAATGTAAGAAAGAGGCGAATGCCCTTCCCCTTTGTTGAAATAAGGCTCTGGGAAAGTCTTACCACATTGAAAGTAGGTCTTTGTTATGCAGAAATCTCTGGGGCTATTTCACAATAATTACTCTTCTTTTCCCCTTCAGATTTAGGAAGACATTTTTCTTAGGTCTTCTCTATGAGGAGGTATGTTATTGAAGGTAAACTTCACAAGTGTGTAGGGGTACCCTTCAAATTGTGGCCCTCATGAGTTTTTCCTCTCATATCAGTCCACACTCAGCCTCCAGCAATTTTTCAAAATTTTTCAAAAGGGTTTCAAAACCCTTACTGTGTAAGGGTTCATAATGGTTTATGGCTTCAGCAGCTTCCATTCCAGGTAACAAGATCTTGGCTGTGTCTCTCTGGATGAACTTTTCTCTCCATATTTTGGGGTAGTGCTTTGCCTTAATATTTTCTTCTTTGATGGGTCCAAAAAAAGCCATTGATTTTGGTTATCCTGCTTTTTTGTTATTATTGTTTTAAGAATGAAAGCGATGACTTCCAACCTTATTACATAATGGACCTGAAATTGGAAGTCCTGAATTCTTCTATGTTTAACATTTACAATTGTCACTCTAGGTGAAGATGTAAAGAATATGGTCAACCAGTCTGAAGATGAATTAAACCAATAGGGACAGTGACTACATAAGGTGGCAGGTTTGTGATATTGTTAAACTAGAGCAATGGCAGCAATTTAAGCTTTATTTACAAAGGTATCATAAGAGGGATAAATTTAAGTTCCTGCTTTGGGTTCAAAACACATTTTTCGAGGGCAGACTAAAAGAGCTGATCCTTAACAATGACATCCATGATAAAGATGTGAGGCATGAATCATTTTGATTACCATGAGTCAACAGTGAAGATCAGCTTTTAAAATAATTAAAGCATCAGTTCACCATAGTGCTTGTAGATATTAAACAAGAAAAAGATCAAACCTCAACTACACTGGGTTAAACCGATTTCTTTAATGTGATCAAGTTCATTGTGCTTTTCCAAGAGGATAAAGAACCTGTGCATTTCCTGAATTTATTTGGCCACAGATCTATTTTTAAATTCTGACTCTAGCATTTTATAATCATAAAACACTGGGCAAGATGCATAGCCTCTGAGGATCTTAGTTTTCTCACTTATATAATAGGAATAATGATTTCTACTTCACAATCTTGCTGTGAAAATTCAATGTGAATAATGTTGAAAATACTTGCCTTAGTGCTGGGCACGTAAGTGCTGAGTTGATGTTGGGTTTTTTTAAAGTTATTTTTTTACAACTAATGGGCGTAACCTTTAATAAGATATTTAGGAATGGGCTGTATTTAAGATATTTAGCAACTGGTATGATTTGATCATTTACCAATCATAAAGGACATTGGTTCAAGAACAACCCTTGGTTCTTGATCATAACAATGTCAGGAGGGCACCAGGGATTGGCAAAGGCAGGAGTGCGCACTCAGTGAGGGAATTAGAACCATGGACTTTTATCAACTATAGTGAAACTATTTTAATACACATTATATCTATACTAGTATGTATCTGCCCACTATCAGCCTTGTACATAGGCAATGAGAATATATTCAGAGAAGAATGTTTAAGCACTTCGGTACGGCGCTCACGGGCTGCGAAACCTTGCCCACAGCCGGCACTCACAGTCCGCACAGCAGTTTGTGCTGTGCATTGACGACGGATCCGTTTTGCTCTTGTGTGATGAGGAAAGCTTTAAAGCACTGAAAGCTTGTTTTATTTTACAGGAAGCTTTACTTGTAATGTAAATCAGAATAGGTAACATATACATATATGTTTTCATTACGTTATTTTTCAATGTTTACAATTTTATTTTGATAAATGAAAAATTAGAAAAGTCACATCACGGCTGTTGGCTAAAGTCGCCGTGCATGTTCATTTGTGGCTATTGAATATAGTTGACACTGGGCTGTGCATGTTCATCTGTGGCTGTCGATTATAGTCAACGCTGGTACTGAAGTGGTTAATGGGATAAAAATACTCAATATAATGATGTATGAGGAACAGCTAAAGGAACCAGAGATGTTTATTCTAGAAAGGGGAAGACTTGGGCAAGGGGGCGGGCAGGAAAGCTGTCTTCTAATATCTGCATGATTGTCAGGTGGAAGACAGACTAGACTTATTCTGTGTGTCTCTTCAGGGTTCAATCAAGAACAATCAATGCGTGAAAGCTTTAGGGCATGAAAGTTCAGCTCTACACAAGGAAAAGTTTCGGAACTCAGAGCAGTTCAAAGAATGGCTGCCCCCATGAAGTGCTGAATTCTCCATTATTTAAAGATGTTCAAAAAGACGAGGGCAAATGCCTGGAGTGGATGTTGTAGAGGAGATACAATTGTTGAACAGACAGTTTCATAGATTCAACTCTAATATCCCTTCACCCCTGAGAACCTTTGGGTTCTATGACCAAGAGGTGGAAGTTCTCTGTGGTATTTCTGACATTTCCATGAACTAATTATGTACATTATGTAAAGTTTATTCCCATTTTTAGCCCTTAAGAAATGAGAGTAAAGAACTATACACATTAACTAGTGAGACAAGCTGCTGGTAAGTTCTAACTTACCAGTGAGTTGAGAACCACTTCATCCCTGAGGGTTACTAACCCCAAGAGAGACAAATAAAAGCAGTTTACTATCACAGAGACGTACAGAGCAACTCAAACCTGAAGTCAGTTTATTTTTTAAGAAGTGTTTTTAAGTTTTCAAATTTTTTCTAATTCAATACATAAACATATTTAAGTTACCTATTAATGCCAGTTAAATTAGTGAAGAAAGAACCAAAGGAGATTAAAGAAAGATTCAGAGACATGCAGACAAAGAAGGATGAGAGGGAGCTGGAAAAAAGGAAGGAAAAAAGAGAAGGATGTTCTCTTTTATCTGCCTGGCTCCCTTGACTTTTTCATGCCTTCACTTCTGCCTCATTAAACTTTCCACTTCCATGAGGTTCAGGGTTTTCATCTATAAAAGGAAGCGGTTGGATGAGATACTTTGTTTATTCATTCAGCAAACGTTTCTCAAGTGCATACTTGGTAGAAGGCACTGTGCTAGCTCTCTGTGTGTGACACAAAGACACAAGTCCTTGCTCACTGTCAGGTTCTCTAAGCCCATGTCAAGAGAGTGACAAGATGTCTGTGATCCTGGGCTGCCAGGTGTTGCCTTTGAAAAGCTGACAATTGCATTCAGCCTGAAATGATTTGTTTCAATCACATCAAATGAATGGTCGTGAAAGAGCAATGAACCCTGGAACACACCATCTATGTGTATATTTATACTATCCGAAATTCTGTGCACAAACAGCATGAGGGGTTAGACATGAGAAACGAAACAAACCACTGGTGGATTACCATCATGTTCCCCATAAGAATGATGATGACTTCTGCCTCCTGTCATTTGCTTACTCTTTTCCTCTTCTCCCTCAGGATTTTGGGTAGAAGAAGGGGCAAGTTGCTCCTTAAAATTGGTTATAAAAGCCTGCCCTAGGCATAAATTTTATTCTCATCCATAAACTCTCATGGGAACATAGCCTGGGAGATGCTACCCATTAAATGAAATCTCTTACTGTAGATGGTAAAAACTAGGTGTAACCTTTGGGCATTGTGTGGCACAGTATCTATTTCCTTTAAAACTGGTCTTTTATAGAGGTTGCGTGCGATATTGTGAAAGAAGCAGAGACCATTCAAATTAAGATAAACTAACACACACACATACACATACACAATGGCAGAGTGCATTAGAAAGGTAGTCCATGACTGTCATTTAAATTACCTTTTCCCCTGGGGCCACCATTAAATAGAAAAGTGCTACAGGAAACCTATCCTTTATATATAAAAAAATCTGTGTGATTTGGTTAGACAGTGAATTTTGCTATATTTTTCATGAAGTACAGATTTATGTTTAAAAGCATAGGCTCTGAAGCTAGACTTCATTGGTTCAAATCCTAGCTTTGTTCTTTATTATATGAGTAACTTGGCAAGTTACTTAAACTTTCTGTGCCTCAATTTTCTCATTTATAAAATGATGACAAGAGTACCTGCCTCAAAGGGTTTATGCAAAAATTAAAGGGCTATTGTGTGAGAAGCTCTTTGACCAATGTTTGGCGCACAGTAAATGCTAAATGTGTGCTGGTTTTTATTATTACTGCTATTCTCCAAAGTTTGTTTCCCCCAAGACTTTAAGTTCTTAAGTAATATGAATGAAAAAGTTTTGTCCTCCAAGAGAGTTGCTGTCTTGTATTTCTCTTTGGATGTAGGCTGAAAACAAAGTATAGTATTGCTTATTAGAATGTGCACCAGTATCACCTATAATGCACATTTTGGTCTTCAGCAAAATCAGAATATCTGGGAATGTGCTCCAGAAATTTGTATTTTGAATGAGGTACCCAGTGGATTCTGAGGCAAACTGGAATTTGCCAGTTTGTGGAGTAAAGCAAGCATGGCCTGCTTTGGCTTACTCACAGCAACAGGCCCATTTCTCGAGCAAATATTATTCACCAGCCACTGAGCCCTCGAGCTATGATCTTATTAATCCTCGCAAGAGACCTCTAAGGGCAGGTTCTCTCATGAGCTCATTTTTTCAGATCAGAAATCGGGGCTTCCACAGTCCCTGGGTTATATGATTTGCCCAAGATTTGCTAGTGAGGGGCATATCAGGGATGAAATTGAGGGATAGAAACTGCTCTACCTGGCCAGAATTGGTGCCCCTACACATATCAAACATTTATATCACATCTGAACACAAGACCCTCCTCTGTTTAGGCTTCCTGCTCTGGGAATATTCACCTCCAAGTTAGTCAAGGCTGGATACAGATCTCTCTCCACATGAAGATTGTATTGGACAATTTATATTCTACTGAGCAAGTCTACCAGTAAACGGCCAGGAGGGTGGGTGAAGATCAGAATGCATTGAAAACTGTCTTCTTTGGGGCCGGAGTTGTATGTTCATTTCATTTTCTAACTTAAATTCTGCCTATCTGCCAGTAGGGGGTAGCTTCTAAATCTACACCACAATCCAATATTGTAGGAAATCCAAGACTTAGATCCTGAATCCCTAATATTTAATTTAAACAAAGTGAAGCAGATTTATAAAGGAAGGATGGAAAATGGGGCCAGGGATATGTTCAAATGAATTTACCATCACATTCTAATGCTTGAAGCCTCTAGCTACTGCCAACTCAAAGCATATTTATGTGACATAAACAATGAACCAGGTGCTATGCTTCTCTATGCAGAAGTGAATTACAAAAAGTTTGCAAGGACCTGACAATATATTAATAAGTAGCACTGTTACTATTAATATTATTCAGCTCTCACTAGGTGTCAGGCATGGTACCAGGTGATCCACACATATTTTGTCATGTAATTTAATCTTTTCAAAAACTCCATGAGGTAGGCATTTTTCAGATGCCTTGCAGCTCTGAAAACTTTAAAAATTTGCCTAAGTTCAGATAGCTTTCCAGAGGCAGAAACTGAGATTTAAATTGAAACCTTTCTATTGTGACATAAGCTTTTCAGGTAACAGGGTAAGACCATTGCATAAATAATAATGCAAGGCAGAGTAATGAGGTATCATTAAAACAACATAAAGGCAAATTGCTTAAGGGTACTCAGAGAAAAGTGCAAATAGAGCCTTTTGGTAAAAGTGTCATGAAGTACCTAGTAGATAGAGGAGGTAATGTTTGAGATAGGCCTGGAAGCATGGCTCTGGCTATCGTAGAAGTGACAAGGATGCGAGGTGATGGGAGGGGGCAGGCATTCCAGACATGGGGAAAGAATAAGCCAACACAGGCAAATGGGCACCACGTTTGGTGATACAGAAGAGTTCACTGGCAAGGGTCAAATATAAGAACTGGGAAATTTTGGATGATAAACCTGAAAAGTGCTAACAGCTGGATGCTATTGTAAGGCATTTGTACTTAGCATGGCAAGCAACAGGGGCAGGGCAAAAACTGAGTTTTTAAGTAAAAGAAAGAGAGAGAGAGAGAGAGAGAGAGATTTGTGTGTGTGTGGAGGATTTGGGCAAATGGAGAATCCTTTAGAAATTCATTTTTTCCTTAACACTTATTATAAACCATATAATGTCCTCTGAGATTTGGATAGTATCTCAATTATTCTTTTCTGACCGCATTTAGAAGCTTGCCATCAGAATATTAATCTGGTGGTACTGAGAATGATGGATGGAGGTGACTCTGTTTAAATGAGGGAAAGAGAATGAGAGATTGGAGGCGGGAGGCCAAGTAGATGACTATTTTTTTTTTTGAGACAGAGTCTCGCTTTGTTGCCCAAGCTAGAGTGAGTGCCGTGGCGTCAGCCTAGCTCACAGCAACCTCAAACTCCTGGGCTCAAGAGATCCTTCTGCCTCAGCCTCCTGAGTAGCCGGGACTACAGGCATGCGCTACCATGCCTGGCTAATTTTTTCTATATGTATTAGTTGGCCAATTAATTTCTTTCTATTTATAGTAGGGATGGGGTCTCGCTCTTGCTCAGGCTGGTTTTGAACTCCTGACCTCGAGCGATCGCCCGCCTCAGCCTCCCAGAGTGCTAGGATTACAGGCGTGAGCCACAGCGCCCGGCCAAGATAGACGACTATTATGATGGTCCAGATGAACAATCTGAGAGCCTAAACTTCAGCTATTGTGTAGAGCTCACTGAGTGTGGTGCTCTTCCCACCTCTCCCTGAGAGCACAGCTCCTGAAGTGCATTTGCTGTCTGGCTTCAAGTTCCTGGGGGTGAGTAAACTAATTACTGAATAAAGGTTTAATGTCATTGCTCTCATCTAAAAAGTCAGTAGAATCTGCACAGCTGTCCAGCGATCCTTTCTTGGTTTCAACACAAAGGAATTATAAGAGATCGTAGTATATCTGCATTTATTTTACTCACTGTGAGCATGTGAGTTTTACCTACTTAATCTGAAACAGTTTACTCAGATAAATTTTCGAGGGCATCTTGGGAAATTTTGTATTTCTTCATAGTCACATCACTATCACTTTCTTACAAAAGCAGAGATTCACAGAAGACTTAATTTTTCTTTTTATTTCCATTAAGTAAAAATGTGTTTAATTATTTTCTTGCCTTTCTCCTCTGAAAAACAACATGTTGCCTTAACTCATCATGACATTCAAAATAGTTTGGGAGGAATGATGCTGACAGCGATATTATTGTCATACAGCTCTGCTTCCCCGGGAGGATTATAAGATGCTTTCAAACTACCAAAGAATGTGTATGCATATATAATTCAAACTTTTCTTTCTGGGGTTTTATAAATAGCCACACAAATTCCATTTCTATCTGTTTAACACTTATGGAGTTTCTGTGAATAGAGAAGCCATTCTTTCTATTTAAAATGCATCAAGGAAAAATCCCATTGTAAGTAAAACAGAATTATAATTGCCTAGCTAAAAACTCTAGAGAGCCCAGTCCACTGGGGACACTCCTTTATGCATTTAGGGTGATATACTCCTAAAATTATGGCCAAGAGAGTGAGATGATCTTATTTTATGGGGATTTCTCTCTTTCTTACCTATACAAAATTGCTCTGCAACAGTTTAAAACAATTCACTCTCTGACTATATGGACTCTTGTGAGAGAGAGATCTATAGGTGAAGATCTACAGAGTCACCCTCTTGTTTCATATTCTTACAGGGTCAGTTTCTACCATGTCAATGCACTGGGATGTTTATAGTGGCTGTAGACGGGTGCTCACACACTAATCTCAATCAACGATAAGAAGGGTAGAGCCAAGTTACTCACCTAGGTGTATGCTATTAAATGGAGTTGGATACTCCATTGTTTGCAGTCACCGCCTACAACAAGGCATTCTAAAAGATGCCAATGACTGATGCTTTTGCCAGGACTACAGGAAGGAAAAGGACTGAAATCATGTTCAATCTGGACTCTATGTCTGTGGACCAGTCTTGGAAGCAGGCACATCTCAGAATCTACCCTGCCACCTACTGAGCTGAGTAAACCAATGAAATGTTGAATACAAAAGACATGAACACCAAGAATTGAATATGGATGATAGAATTTACACCATGGGATTGGTTCACCAGAGGAGCAATGAGAAGCAGTGAGCTCACTCCCTAATTGTGAAGCTGACCATCACTGCTATGAACTGTCCCCTTGAACCTCGATTCAAACCATTTCCTACTGAAGATTAAATTTTAAGAGACTTGTTAGAAAAATATCAGGATGCTGGTGGGGGGGTTGTGATTTTCCTATAGCTTTTATAATAAACGGTTACAAATTTTAGTCAAGTCTAGACTGTTGGAAAGTTGAAAGAGAAGAAAATGCAACCTTGTTAAGGGAGGCCTTTTTGGCCAACAGGGAGCAATCTGAGATAAATTGAGATTCAAAAATATATATCCTGCAAAATGGTTGGAAAAGCTAAATTTTCTGGCTCTAGGCAGTCAACAAAAATGAAAGCAGAAATGCAGGAAACTCAGTAATTAGTTTCCTATTACTGCTGTATTGAGTCACCACAAATTGGTGGCTGTAAAACAGCACAAATTTATTCTCATTCAGTCCTGGAGGTGAGAAGTCTAAATCAAGTGTTGGCAGGGCTGGGTTCCATTTGGAGGCTTCAGAGGAGAATCTGTTTCCCCTCCTTTTTCACCTTCTAGAGGCGGCTAGAGCACACAAACTCAGGATCCCTTCCTGGGATCACTACAGCGTCTAGTTTCCCTGCCCCATATCCAACGACCCTCTCTGACCTTCTTGCTTCCCTCTTATCCGAGCCCTTGTGATCATCACATTGGATCCACGCTGATATTCCAGGATACTCTCTCCATCTCAGGATCCTTAATTTAATCACATCTACAAAGTTCCTTTTACCATGTAAGGAAACAATTCACAGGTTCTGAGAATTGGAATGAGGACATCTTTGGGAGGTGGTCACCATTTAGCCTACCATACTTAGCTAGAGGTATTGGGAGACCCAGAAAAAGGTTGGACCCTAAGGTCCACCCAACTACCTCCTAATATACACCTTCTGCATGATCAAAAGAGGGAAGTCCTCGATAACATTGTTTAAATCTTTGGATCCAGACTAGTACAAAGCCAACTCTGGATTTGCCAGTTAAATGATCTGTTATTATAAATTTTAAGATTCTCTAAATTGAATTTCTGTAATCTGCAGCTCAAACAGGCCTGATGTGTATACTTGCCCAAGGTCATAAAGGAGCAGGCTGAGTCCCTTGTTTTGACCATGACCTACCTGGGTCACTGAATAAAGGTGCATTTGTCCTCTATTTGAAGAGCACTCTTAATTGTTGGTTAGTTGTCTTCCTCCCCACTCTTGCCTCTGCCCATCTTGGCCTCAGGGACATTCTCTGTTCAGGGCCACATACTCCTCAATCTTCACCAATTACTCAGCCTATTTCTTCCAGTACTTTTCTTTAAAATAGTGTGGTGACTTGCTGGGAGGCTAGCTTCCAGATTCTAGAACCACAAAGAGATATACCTTCCATGGGGTATAAGAAAGGCTTTGTCTTTAGAGAGGCAATAGACAATCCTGTCCTCTGCCTCCAAGGTTGGAAAGCATGCTTCTTATAAAGATGCAGTTGAATTTTCAAACTCTGTTACATTGAATTCTTAAACTCATGAGCCACTAATAGACTTCACTTTAGAATCTTATATTACCAGAATGACAGCTGTTGTTCTTAGTTTCTGCATTCTCCAATCTGATTCCATTCAATATTTTCTCATCAGTAGGCTCACCAGTTGAATTTCTTGGGAGGGCCCTCTCCTAACACTGTCTCAGTAGCTGCAGCGTACCTCTGGGGAAGGTTTTGATGTCGCCTCAGGCCCTCTGCTGGCCCCTCATGGCTACAACTATCTCAGTTGCCCAGGTGTTAATCCTGGATCTCAGTGGGATCTCTGGCTCAGGGAAACATCTGCACACAGGCCAGGAATGCCACTTAGCTTCATTTATACTGCCAACTCTGATTAGTAGGCTTACTAGCTGTGTGAGCTTGACCACCTTCCTTAATCTCACTGTGCTTATTTTTTCTAGTCTGTAAAATGGGGATAATAATAGCATCTACCTCATAGGGCTGTTATGAAGATTAAATGTGTTATTATTTGTGAAGCAATTAGAACATTATCTGGTGTGTGATAAGTGCTCTGAGTATTTGTTAAAGAAATTAAATACAAACAAACAAATAATTAGCGTGCTCGAGAAGAGCTAAGGATGACGTGGGAGGGAGTTCTGGGATCTATTAGAGATGTCTTCCAAGGACATGGGAGAAGGGGTACCAGAATGCCATGTATTTGTCATCCCTGATATAGACTCTAAGGGGTTCAGCTCTAGACATAATTTTAAAGGTGATACATTTATAATTATTCTCCAATCCCTATTCTTCTTACTCTCCAACCCCTATTCTTCTTCCCTTTAGAGAAGATCTGAAATGTATTCTCTAGGGGATAAAATTTACTCTCATATGTGTGTGTGTGTGTGTATTTTTTTTTTGAGTACTACCTAGTTTAAGGCAGATGTTACATGCTGGGGACACAGGTAAGCAAGTTAAAATGACCCCTGCCCAGACAAAGCTTAGATTCTAGTTGGTGAAACAGACATTACACAGATAATTGTGTAATTACTTGTTTAATTCCAACTGTGAAGAGCACTCAGAAAGGCAAATATAATGTGTAATGGAGTCCCATCCTAATCCTGTGGATCAGGGAAAGTGTCATTAAAGAAATATTTTAGCTGAAAACTGAGAACTTAGAGGAGCTGGTTAGACCAGGGGCTTGGCCTTGAGGAAGAGTAGAACGTTCCAAACAGAAGGAGCCGTGTGGGCAAAGGCTCCATTTTTTACTATTTGGGATCCAAAGAATAAAAAGAATTAATGTCTTTATTTAAAAAGGAAGAGCTGGTCGGTAGCAGATGTTTTACATAATTGCTCGTCTCCCCCAAGGGCAGGTGGTGTTGGTGCTATTTTATTTTACCAGCATCACATAATATCAATATGGAACATAGAGAGCAATTCTACTGGGAGAAGAGAAAATTTCATGGAGAAAATTATATTAGGGTTTCAAAGGATCAGCTGGGTCTCAGTAGACATAAATGAACTACAGCATAAGAAGCTATAGACTAAATAAATTACAGTTGTAAAACTTTGGGTATTAGACAGTCAGTAGAATTTGTTTGTTTTTCTTTGGTCCCTCCGCTTGCCTCCTGAAAGCACACCATGAAATCTGCTGCCAGAACCATTTAGAATAAAGTTGTCCTGTTTACAGGTTTTTGATAAGCTGTTTTTATTCTCTAATAAATAAGAAACGTTGTCATTGTCCCCTACAAAATAACTGAGGTTTTACTTGAACAAAATCTGTTTGGAAATGTTAAGCTGGTTACACAGAACTAATATGCCTCAAGGTGGTCATTCTCTCTGGATTAAAGCTGTGGAACAATCGTGGCTCCTGTTACAAGGAAAATTACAATGGGCCATTATGAAAAGGGACAAAAATCTCTGTTCCCAGAGGGGGACTGACAAGCTGAAAGTCCCTCTCTACATGCCAACACAAAAGCCTGATTGCCTCAGATTGTTTGTTTATGTAAATCAAAAGGGTGCCTTTAATTCTGCAAGTGGGACTGCTAAGCAACGAAGGAGGTGGTGATTGGCTGGACTCTCGCTCATGGGCTACTGTCAAATCTGACAAATCCTATTGCATTTGCTCTAAGCTCTGTCTGGACACCTTAGGGAAAGAATCTGGTTATTATGTACCAAAGTGAATCGTCTGTACTCTTAGAGTAGGAGTTAGAACTATAGGACGTGAAGGCAACAGAAGGTATCTTACCAAGGACCTGCCCACTCAGTTTCCCCAAAGCTCCCTCCAGATCGGACTCAACTGTTCATCATGACAGATGCTCCAGTGACATTTATTCAGGCTGAGTGCAATGGGGATAAACCACCTGGAAATGGTCAACAACCAATCACTAAAATCGATGAGGAATTGACTGATGGGAATGGCATCCCACCACACTATAGGGTAGCACCTGGTCTTGAAGATTTACCCACAGAAGGAAATCAGAAGGAAAGTGGAAAATTACAAGGGAACCTGCAGCTCAACTGGGCCAGGGATGAGAAGGTTCTAAAAGGTAACATATTTTCCTTTTCCTTAATTTGCTTGCTTTCACTTATAAACTCACTCGGGATTTGTTTTTAGGTAAATCGCTTTTTTAGGAATGAGCTGGACACCCAAACAATGTATGTGGCCCCGTTTTCTACTAGGGCTGCATAGCATAAGGGCTAAATCTCTACCTCTGGTCAAATCCAGGCTTGTCTGTTTGATACATCTGTGACCCTACACAACTTGTTTTGTCTCCTTAAGCCTGAGATTTTTTTTTTTTTGCCAGAAGAAGGCAGAATAAAAGTATCTACGTTTGTACGATTGTCACAGTGATTGCTAAGTGTTGGCTAAATGTTAATTATTTATTTATTAGTTAGTTATTATTATTATGAACAGCCCGCCCCACTATTATTTGAACAAAAGAATTCAGAATTTTAAGATTTCCTTCTAAATATACCTGAGTGTTCTGAATTTGTGGTTCTATACTTTATATAACTATTAAAGATTATCAATTAATAAATTAAGTAATCATTAAGTAAATAAATGGAGTCAGTAAAGAATGAATATTAAGAGTCAAAGAGCAATTTTTAGTGATCATATTTAAAATTACAGAAATCTACCTGAAGTCTAAATTGATAATATATTAACCCTTAAACTATATATATTTCAAATGTTAAAATACTAATCTTATATATTTTTTCCCCAGAAAATCCAGAGGAGAACCTCTTTATTGTTCATAAGGCTGTCACAGATCTTTCTCTCCAAGAGACAAGGGCTGATGAAATGGCATTCAGAGAAGGTAACAGGAACTATAGTTTTGTGCCTAGAAATTGTTTGAGTTAATATGGATGACAGTTTCTGCATGGGATGTTGCATGAGTGTGGCATTAAAAAAGCAATCCAGGAAATGACTTCAAAATTTCAAAGCTGCTATAGGCAGATAAGAGAGTCTTGACTTATCTGAGGGTTCCACCTTATAAAGCATTCCAGACAGTTCAAGACTGAGACAGCACGAATTAGTATAGCTGATTGGCATACCAATGTGATATCTGTCTCTTAATAAGTTAGTCCACTAAATCAACCTTTCTTTTTGATTTGGTGTTTCTAAATCTGTATGAGGCACCTTGTGAAATGTAAATGTTTCAAAATGAGGTTTATCCTAACAGTCTACAATTGACATGCAGTTTAAAGTAATCTTATAAATTGATTTACTTTATAGAGAAATTCTAGGCCTCTGATGTAAGTACAAAATGGTTAACTATTTCTTGTCAAAGAAAACTCTCAGGATGGTACAGTTAATTTTAATTGTGTTCTTTAAGAAAATGGGAGAATGAAAAGAACATTGAAGTGACTATATTAAATAATTTCAAACAAACTCAATAGACTAAGAGACACAAAATCCTTTAGGCTTTTCTTCTACATTTCAGCAGTTTCCAAATAAAGTACAGGATAAAATCTATTAATTAATCATGCATTTCCTCTTCTTCTCTTGCAGCCATAAACATCCTATCTCAAAATTGAAGTCAACTTGTTAGACCTAACCAATTTAGCTTAGTTAGGACCTTATCAGGCAAAATACTGAAGACACTATTGGTTGAAATATTAGAACATCACATAAAATAGTAGATGCCAAGGAGGGCATGGATATGAATGGCAATTTCCTATATTTGCTCATTTTGCCAGGATACCTCTAGGACCATCTGCTGACCAATGTGCAGACACTTAAGGAAAAATGTAGCAAGCAGTTTTCATTGTCAAGATATTACATTATCAGAGATAATTTATAAGACGTACGAGCCCACAATATGAACTAAATAACCCCTTTGCCCCAATCTTTCTGCTTCCAATGGAACAAGCTCGTAGAGGCAGGGATCTCATCTTTGTTAGAAAGCCCTTCAGATTTCTGATCAGAAGATCCACTGTAGACAATGGTTTTCTAGTATCTTTCACTTTGATTACATGGAGAATGAAAGCAGTATATATTTTTAAGCTGGATGGTCTGACTGGTTCATTTTTCTCTGAGTGAATCCTTTCATGTTTGATGGAGCATATGTTTTTCCTCTATTATAGACAGGCACAGCTTTTGGTGTCTTTTATTTTCACAATGGCAAATAACTATAAGATCTTCAAAGAGAATGCTCCTAGATTGAAAAATATAAAGATGCTAAAAATACTGAGGAAAAACTATAATTTAAAGTCAAGGAATCATTTCATGTATGACAATCCCCTGCCTGAGTCATAAATATAGACAAAGATCAGTTTCTTTTGTTCTTGTAGAAAACAAAACAAAGTTTAAGATTACAAAACATGCATTATAATTTGTATTTATGTATAATATAAAGAACACTGACTGGCTGCTAAACACCTGCTAGCAGTTGTATATAACTAGTTAGGAGTGATAACCCATCTTTACTTCTATCTCTCCCTGTAAGTTTGCAATCTGATCACTAGAGTTTGAAAAAACAAAATAAAACAAAACAAACAAATAAAAGAATGAAAAGAGAACTAAAAATCTTGGAAGATAATGGACTTGTGAACATCTTCCAGAGAGAGTAGAACACCATGGAGAGGGAGAACAAAGAGGAGAGAGGAACATTGCCTCTCACCTTATTTATAGACTCTTAAGATGTCAAAGGAAAACGGTGAACCCAGGTTTGCCACGGGACATAACTAGACATTTCTGAATCATGCACACTACAGACTGAAACCTCCCACAAAGGCCTTTAGGGGTGAAAGCTCAGAGAACAACCTCTTGTCCCTTATGGTTAATTCTTAGCATGCTCAATAAATATTGTTGAGGATATGCTTGTATGATCTAGCTGTTTGAAAAGTGATCATTGCAGTGAATTGAGCCTTTTAAAAGTCACTACGTGGTACCAAATAACTTGAGTCAATTAGTTGTCATTCGGAACATGTCTAATCAACATTGGGAACATGTCTAATGTAAACAACAGGCTAACTGAGCATTATGTAGGTGTAACCACAACAGAATTTTTAAATCTTGGCTTTTTAGAAATCAATGGCAGATATTAGACCATATTGTGCGTGCTTTGGTGGGCTTAGTTAGGCCTGACCACCTGTGGGCCCCTGTGCCTCCTGCTATACCTGGTTACTTTAGGGCAACCCTGAGAAACTTGGTGTCAAGTGTCGAGTATGCTACTCTGAGTGTGAGCAGACATGGGCAGTCACTGTTTTTACTATTGGAAGAGAGCTTGGCCCCCCCCCAGGTATTTTTCTAATTTTCCTTAAGGTAGGGGTGTGTGTGTGTGTGTGTGTGTGTGTGTGTGTGTGTGTGTGTGTGTGAGTGAAATAGGTTCAAACATTTCATTTGATATATTTACATATCCACTGTGACAGGATTGTAAAAAGTGTGTCTCAGGGAATAGCAGTCTCACTAAATACAGTACTCTGTAACAACAGAATGCCATAGTCAAATGGGGTTCAGTTGCTGACTTTCCTGGAGAGTTCCAGTATCATTAGTATTTTAAAATCTTGGATAAATTCTGAAGAAGCTTATTTAACTGCATTTAATGCAGCATTTTCCAGACTAATTTGATTGTGCAAAACATATTAGTAACCCACAGAATTATATATTCCATAAAACACATATTAGGAAGCGATCGTCAAGAAAAATAATTTGGAGAATAGAAGGATAACAGCTGGATAGTTTTGAACCTTTCTTCATCTCAACTACCAATTGATTTTGCTACAGGGCATCAGTGGGAGAAGATTCCTCTGAGCAGTAGTAACCAGGAAGCAAGCAGACAGAAGCAAAGGATTGCCAAACAACCTCTAGAAGAGAGAGAAGAAGAAGATAGGAAGAACGAAGCTTTCCAGGCAACTGAAATTGAATGGCTGGGATTTCGGAAACCTAGCCAAGTTGGCATGCTGCATTCTAAACAGGAAGAGGAGCAAGAGGTTTGGGATAAAGAAATGAATAACGATGATGATGATGATTGCCAAGATGATGAAGATGAAGTTAGAGTGATAGAATTTAAGAAAAAACACGAAGAAGGTTCTCCATTTAAAGAAGAAGATGAGGCAAGTGAGGACTCCCCACTGAGCAGCGGCAGTCCCCAGCTGACACCTGATGAGCAGCCAACCTTGGGGAAAAAGAGCGACATCTCTAGGAATGCTTATTCACGGTACAACACGATATCCTACCGGAAAATCAGGAAGGGGAACACCAAGCAGAGAATCGATGAGTTCGAGTCTATGATGCATTTATAAACTAACTGGAACTGAGAAATTCTCACTCCCACTAAAGCAAAAGCTAATTCTCTTGGCTTGATATGCATATTTCTATGCCTTCTTTGAGTTACCCCCTTAAAAGACATGGAAGCTTACTCTCTTTTTTTTTACCATAGAATGAGGAGGAAATAACCCTAGACAAAAAATTCTGTCTGGTAACCTCAAATCAAAAAGCTTTAGATTCATTCTTGGGCATGTGCTTTTAAAAATTTCGCTAATATAGCATTGTGTGATAAGCAGTCAGTCTCACTGGGTAACCTGGCATGATTTGGCTTTAAAAGTAGCATTGCTGGGAAAGGTAGTCTTCATATGAAAGAGTGAAATGATTTCTATGTTTCTTTTAGTGTCTTTCTTCCTGTACAATGGGGTGATGGAGAGTGTGGAATTAAAACTCTCTTAGTTTTAAACATGATTTTACAGACTCTGGCAGTAAACCTTCCAGAATTCTTTACCTTTCCTATTATCATCAAAAAAGATTTTAAGTAGTTTTCTTTGGCATCTACAGAGTGAAAATTCTAAAGGCCTTCTTCCTAGCTACTACCACTCATGGAATCTTCTCGCCAGAGGGGGCTGTGCAATTGTCAGTCAGGAGAATTGTGTTTTCTAAACGTTGGCTTTATGCTTTCAAACTGAATTAAACCCATTGTGAGGTTGATACAGGGAGGGGCTAGAAGATTGGTGGGCAATAGACTAAAGAGTTTTATTGGATAGTTTTATTTCTGTGACTGAAAATAAAATCTTGTCTAGCACAGTAAAAGTCATTAAAAATAAAAATGACAGCTTTAGCACAATTTTAAGAAAATGCCCCTCTTTATTACCACACTTTCTCTTATTAACAGTATCTCAGAATAATTTTCTTTCCTTAGAAACCTGAGACAACGCTAGTCATAACTGTACTAGTTACTATGAAAATGGAAATAATTAGCTTAGAATATTTTCAAAGTGGAGCGTGAGCATGTATTTTTAGTGAGAAAGCTCTGATAGTTGTTGGGAATATATAATTTACTGGACCTCAGCCCAAATCAAGATGCTTAAAATTGTACTTGTGGAGCTTCACTCAAACCAATGTGTCAAATAATGTATTGAATATTTATGAAAAGAGAGTCTATATTTATATTCTTAGATAGTTTGTTCCACAATTTTTCATTTTATGCTTCCGTATATATTACCCTGAACTTTCTGTCACCACAAAGATTTTTTTGGCCCTGAAAATAAGAAGACAATTCCTTATTGTCTGAATGTAATACAGTCTTCATTGTACTATTCAACCCTTTGTTTATTTCTTTTCATTTTGTGAAAAATCCTGGGTTAGTCCTTCTTAGATTATTGCTTATTTATGTGTAACAAGTCCCACACATTCTAATAACAACTTCTTTAATTCTTCCTGGTCATATATTTCCAAAGTATCATATACTATTATTTAGCATTTACAAGAGTCAATTTTGAATTCAGAATTGAAGTGTTCCTTTTATACTTTCAAAAACAAAACAAACAAAAAAAAAACTTAACAGCCTAGCCATATAAAAGAGTTCTGTTACTCTTAATCTATAGAACCTATAGATTTCATTTGTGACTATGTGAGTTTTCAGAATAAAGTGAGGGAAATCAGGTCTTTATTGGTAAAGTTAGGTAGAAGATTGAGGCACTAGGAAAGTTTCCTGTTAATTTAGAGCCTGTGAATCTTCCCACCTGGACAACATATTTTTTTTCTGGATTATAGATGACCCCTGCAATTTTCTACTTAACTTCAAAGCCCAGTATTGTGTTATCTGTCATGTAACAGGACCATATTATTTACCTACCTTCAAAAGAGCTTGTACTTTGAGTTACTCCAACAAAGGTGATGAATTCCTGCAGAACTTGAGCGAGGTGAGTGGCCTGCGGCTATGTACTATGGTAAAGCAACTGTCTCTTATGGGACTCTAATATATATATATAGTAACCCTGTTCTGTCTAATTTTGTGCTCTCACCAGACAATTAACTATGAAAGATTTTGTCAACAGAGACTATTTTAGGGTATGTTAAATTGGTAAATGCTTCATGTTCATGGATGAGGCAATGCAGTTCCAAAAGAGCACTGAAACTGTTCTTTGGCATTGGTGTTCTTTGGCATTGGTGTCCATTGTCCTATACTGCCATCTTTCACCAAGGCCACAGAGTTAAGTGACCGTAAGTAATAGGATGGTGATGGTTAATCCTTGGAGTCTTTGTAACCTAGAAAGACAAGGGTCCGATTCAGATTGCATGGGGGATATTTAACATATTTGAAACTTATATGGAACATGATTAAGAACAAAAACTGGTAACTACACATGAAGCTTTATTTGAGTTTTTGTGATTCAAGGTTCAGGAGTGGGAAGGACTCTGGTACCTGGTAGGAGGAAGAAATAATTTATTACACAAATGCGGATATTTGTTACATGACTTTTTGTTTTGTTTTGTTGCTGAACAGGAATTAATAATAGCTCTATTGCTCTGCCAGTATAAAATTTACCTTTCATATAATGCTATATTTGAAAACACAGATTTTGCCAGAATTTTTCTCTTTCTATCTATCTGCAATTTAAATAAAGAACTGCTGTGTCTGCTTTTCTCTCAATAAAAGTTTGTGTCTTTATTTCTGGTTTCTAGACTTCATTTTTTTCAGCTGCCTTTTAAAATTTAGAAAGAACCCTTGTATGTCAGCAGCTACTAAGACCATCGATAACTGCCTCTTCAGAAATCAAGAGAACATCTTATTTTAATTCATTTGCATTATTTATTTCAAAACGGTCTCAAAATGATTGTATATAAAATTACAAAAAGAATTTCTGGTAGGTAGATATATAACGTACATGGAAAATTTCTATTATTTTTAAAGGAACAGAAATAATTGTTTTAGATGCATCTAAACACCAACTTGAAAAAAATCTTTGTAGTCATTAAGGTAATACATTTAAACTATGCTGACAATTTTATAGTAATTGTTTCCCATATTTATATGGGGTAGTTCTTTTGGCATATTTACCAATGGAGAATGGACATTTAAGCTTTTCCAAGTGATAGGAAAAACATTTAAAATAGGTAATAATAGAGAATATGGAAAAGGATGAAATACCAAAGTATCATAAAGAGGAAATATGTTTAACCATATGAGAAAGGCAACAACTTCTTTTAAAGCCTGAACTTCCATTGCTCTATAAAAACAAGAGGATTATTAACAGCAATGCCAAAATTATATTTGCCAATATTAAAATATCAGACAGTAACATAATGCAATAAATACAAAGACCAAAATATATATACAGCTCATGAAGAACACGAGATGACTGAGGCGTACAATCAACACAAACACAATGACACGAGTAGCGACAAGCTGCTAAACTCACCCAGATACGTGGCAAACTACAAAATTAAATGATGACATCTAGTAACTAACTGCCAGCTCAGGGGAATTTTGGAAAAGAATTTGCAAAGTAATTTAGATTTTTACCTAGAAATTTAAAGATTCCTTCTTTGTAATAACTTTATTTGTTCAGAAGCAGAAAAAAATGGGTACTTAAAAATGTTGAACTCCAAAATGCTTTATGTACCGGTTTTAATTTTGTTCTTCCATTAACAAATGTTTTCAGGTAATCAGTAACAAAATCCACTAACTTGATGTTTTCCCTCTCTTGTTTTTAAGCTAATATGTATAAAACTAGCAAATTTGGGCAGGTATTTGAAAAAGATTAAAATGTACAGAATCCTAAACTGAATAAAAAACACCCCAATAATTTAGAGTTTGATTAAGACTCTTTTAAGTCTGGAAAACAGTATACAGAGTGAAAGTCCACTTGAGATACTTTTGTGTAGAAAAGTAGATGCAAACAAAGCTATACACTTAAAAAAGCATTAAAAATATCCAAAAGCATTTATAGTTTTCTTTATGTTGCAAGTAGAAATTTTTGGTATTTCTCTCAATTCAATGGATCAAGTATAAACACACACACACACACACACACACACATACATATACAGTATATTTATGAAAATCGATATGTTTTTTAATGGTCAGTTAGAGATTAATGTTATAAAAAATACTTTCAAAATCTAATATAAAGGCTTTATTTATATAGATATTTATGACCAATATCCTTAAGCTGACAAATATCTATCAATTAATAAAATAGAAAACCTCCATTTTCAAAGAAATTATTTGTTGCTTATTTGATGGCAACTGTCATCATTAGGAACTCAGTATATTAGAAGTTGGTCTATTTGTTGGAAAATGAGAATTTTCACATGTGTTTTTGCAAAGCAAAGATTCACATAAACTTGCAAAGGGACCCTAAATTGAACTGGTACCTATTAGTTGGCCCATTAAGTTGAAAATGGAAGTATTAAATCTGCTTAGTATGATGGTACTTTTTCTTTCTTTTAGACACAGGCACCACCAACACCTGAAATATCATCCACTAAGCCTAATCAAGGCTAGACAATACTTTATATGGCTTATTCAAACCTGTCCATGGAATGGTTATTTGTTTAAAAATAAATAAATATTTTGGACAATAGCTTTGGTTAGTGTTTCTTCTCTAATTTCAAGGCATTTGGCATTTCAACCATTTAGCAATGGTTGAACAATCCATGCAAAAGCATGGTAGAGATAATTTACACAATGAGTGGAGGTTAAAAGTCATGGTTTGTGTTTTAAAAAGAATTCTTCAATTTTTTACTTTGCATTTCTGTTCAAATTGAGCAATCTGTCAGCTTTGTTTAAAGGTTGGGAGAGAAAAAGTTGATAATATTATTCATAGAGAAACAACTGTCTACATGTCCATTTCTCCTTTTCATAGTTCGTTCTGCAGATGGGTAAAAGAACAGGTCCCGTGTGAAGTCAGATCAACCCTAGCAAAACATGTGGGGATCGCCTTACCTATACCTACACATCAGTCGTTTAACAGAGAGAAGCCCAGCTTCTATTTCCTGTCTATATGACAACCAAGAGGGACCAAAGGGGTTTGTTTCCTTCTCATTCCATTACAGTGGGATCAGTAATCTGCAACCAAGAGATTTTAAATGAGCTTGCCTGAGTTGACTGTCCTATTTTTAAAAAGAAAATGAGAGTTACAGCAGCATACTGCAGTGAAAGAAACTTTTTTCTTTTAGCTACATAGAATGAAAACTGGGTTTATCTCTTACTAGTGCAACGACCTTGGACAATCTACCAAATCTCTCAGCAGGACAATAGGGAGTCATCCTCCTCATTGGTTGAATGAGAGTCACCTGGCTGAGTTGTGCACGACAGTGGGATAGGGGAACATGCACATAGTGAGTACTGAATGATAATAACTTTCTCTCTCTTTTCCTGTTACCTCTTGTAATGTCCTTGTTTTTATCCTAAATGGTTAGGCTTTCTTCTGAGTTATATTTTTTTCCCTGTATTCTAAATATGAAAGTTAAATTAGAGATATTAGAACAAATAAAGATGGTATTAACTGGTGTACCTCAAGCCCATTCTCTTGCATAATCATTCTAAGCTATTCACGAGATCAGGGTTGACTAGGAATGTTGAATTTACATACACTGTGCATGGTATCTTTGCCCCTCTACAATTCCTAAGATGATGCTGGAAGCAAGAAGTTTTAATATCTAATAGAATATTTCCAAATTAGGGTGGTCAAGTTAACAATACATTATGATCATGGTACACGGTGTTTTGCAGCCCTGTGAATGACAGCCAATTAAATGTCAGCAAGCAGAATTGAGCAAATTTGATGCTGGTGATGAAACAAGAACGGCAGTGTCATAGCATAGCAGGGTGGAAGCTCTGGAAAAAGAGAAAGGAATTGTGCAAACTGGAAGGCTCAGAAGCACTTAGATGGCTTGGTAAGTTAGTTTTTTGATCAAATAAGTCCTGTGAAATATTATCAAGGCCACCCTTGTGTTCAAGGAAACAAGATGCATAGACATTTTTTCTAAGAAAAGGAAATATCCTAAGCCAATCCAGGGAAAAATCTGAAGCCCCTGAGAACACAGCCCCCAATTAAAGAATTCAGGGCTGATTAAGACCCCAATGTGTCTCATCTAAAGGTTTATCATTAGATACACCAGAAGACCTAGTAGCATTTATACCTTTATTCTAGTCTTCTAAAAATAAAATTTAGAGGACAATGCTTAAAAAAATACTGGTAGTAGATTTTACAATAAGTCAATACACTCAAGGTTAGGCCCATACAAACTCCCAATGAGTGATTATTTCCTTGCTTCTTAGAGTAAATGAGCAAATATATGATAAAAGCAGTTTTAAAAATTCCACTCAAGAAAAAATATGTGATGTTTAAAAACAATCCTTTGTTATAGCGACAATATAGATTTAAATATAGCTTTATATAATAAGTATGTCAAGGTAAAGTCAGAAGGAACGTACACTGAGCAGACTGTAGAATGTTCTGCTGAGAGAAACATTCAACTTCCTTTAGCTGGTGAAGCCATAGGTGAGTGTATCCAAAACACAATTCATCTTTTTCTGAACAAAGCTGACTTTTTAATGGAAACTATTTTTTTTTTTCTTTTTTTTTTTGGAGAAAAAGAAAAGTCTATAGACGGGAGAAGAAACCTTTCCACATTTTTCAGTTAGAGGGGGAATTACATGAGGCACTCAGGGTATTCAGTTTGGTCAGTTAACTCAATTAGTCTTTTGGCAACTGACTTGTGGTTTCCCCCCATCTGGCTCGGTTTTGAAAAGAATTGCAGTCATGTATCCTTTAATGATAGGGAGACAGTCTGAGAAATGTGTCATTAGGTGATTACATCGTTGTATGAATATCAGAATGTACTTACACAAACCTAAGATGGTACAGCCTACTCTACACCTAGGCCCGATGGTATGGTCTGTTGCTCCTAGTCTACACACCTATACAGCATGCCACTGAACTGAATATTGTAGGCAATTGTAGCAATGGTAAGCATTTGTATCTAAACATGTGGAAACATAGAAAAGGTACAGTGAAAATACTGTATTGTAATCTTACGGAACCACCATCCTGTATGTGGTTCATTGTTGACCAAAACATAGTTTTGTGGCACATGTCTGTACCTTATTTTCTCATCATTCTCTTATCTCATCTGGAATTGTCAGATTATTTGAATAAAACATCTTAAATATGTCACAAATGTACAGAAATGTTTCCCTTTATCATTCCTAGTTATGGCTTTACTTGTGTATAATTAGTTGGCAACTAAAATCAAATGTTAAACAGGAACTCAGAACAAAAGATATCCAGTTTCTTCATCATCTCAACTGAACAAAGTTTTTTAAAAAAGAAAAAATCTTAAAAATATCAACAAGACTATAGCATAGCACCCAACCCCAGAAAAGAGATTCGTGTGTCTTTTTCTAAGGAATATCCTGGAGCAGTTCTGTTTAGGCCAGTGGCCTGAGGCAGTAGAATGAACCCTGTCTCTGGAGCTCCCAGTTCTAACCTTGATTTTTTCACTTAACTAGCTTGGAATTTTTAGACAGGTAATTTGTCTTCTGGGCATCAATTTTCTTATTGAAATGAATGTAAAGGATATCCTGATTTCTAGGATATTTCCTGGCATGCCTAAGTATTGGTAAGATACTAAGATATATAAGATTAGAGGCTCCATTTGCATCAAAGAAATATTTAACTTTTCCCCAAATTTGACATTTTTATCTCTGGGTCCACATTGAGGGACCCACTTTATTCTCTTTTTCCCCCATAAAGATACCAGATTCTCGTTCTTCTTTGGCCAAATTTAGGGCAATTTTTTCCTAACTGTCTTCCTAAGAGTTGTTTACCTCATTCTTTTCCCCTTTCATTATGTTTCCTTCACTTTATTTTTACTTTGAAATCTTTCAAAGCCCGTTTTTAGCAGATTTCATTCCTGTGAATGCTGCTAAATCGAAAGTAGTGTTTTATTATTTTCATATAAAAGAAGCTTTCAGCTCCATTTCTGCTTTACTTGTTTTAACTCCTCTTACTTGGCCTTGCATTAGAATGAGTTCAATGTTTAAATGTACTTTTGGTTACTACAGTGTGTTGTGAGCCACCCTCGGTTTTGCTGCCTTTGGTTTCTTTTTTGTAATATTCGCATAAGTCTAAGAAGTTATCGGTATGATCAAATTTTCAAAGTGCAGTTTTAAAAACACAAAATGGGCTGACATAATGTCCCTGCCTAGAACTGCATAAGCACTTGAAGGTCTCTTCTTGCTCACTTAAAAGTTTCTCCACTGACTGAAACTGGGAAAAAACATTATACAGCAATCTAGATTGAAATGCTGTCATCAACTAAGGCCATCAATTGTATAGATCAATACTATTGCAAACTGCTACATAAACATGCATGTAGCCTGGAGGGGTTTCACAAAGGTGTGGGCTGTGGGCATCTGAACTCTTCTAGTGATAAGAACTCAAGCAGTTTTTATTTAATGAGAAAAACAGAAAACAAGGGATGAGGTTTTCAATAACCATACCTACTTCTGGGCCAAAAGACTTTGTCATTACCTAGCCCAGTCATCAGGAGTACCATTGTGTTTCCTCAAGTGCTTCTGTGTTCGTTCCTGGTTACCTGTCAGCTTGCGTGGGGAAACTTGCAGGATGAGTTCTAGCACAGAGTGGGAAGCAGGCAATTCCAAAGGCCACACAGAGCTGAAGAAGGACTCCAGCCCAATGTCGGACTGTTTCCCTGAGTTATCTTTCGGTATTCCAAATATTGTGATTTGTAAAAATCTTCCATCCAAATGCTGTTAAGATTGAAAATTTAAACTACCACTGAGAAATACAGTCACCAAGTTGCTGTTATTTTCACAGTATTTAATGGATTTACCAGGGGGAAAAAATCAGTTCCACTTCAGGCTTCATAATATTTTTCAAATTTCCACTTTTGATATGGTTTCATTGGGTCACAAGCAGCTACTTTCAGGGTCTTCTGAGAAAAATTTCCTTCCAAGCATAACAACTGATGATAGTTTTCGAAAACAATGTGATTCACCTGGAAAAAGAGAGGATCTGGAAATGAGCCACAGAATGAATTTGACAACTGAGATATAAAGAAATGAAAACCAATGAAAAAATAGGCAATTACATTGTTTGATTTTTTTAAAAGAATTCTTCTGGACTAAATTAATAATATAAACCTAGACTTTGGAAAGTATTCAATTTGTCTCTGTCTCAAACTGAGTTATCATACTTCTCTAATCTATAAAAGAATTGTAATTCCTCAAGAAGCCAAAAAAAAAAAGAATGTTCTGATGATATGGCTGATAACTATATTATTTAAAGGGAAAAAATTCCAGATGACATTCATTGTATTTGATGAATGATGGCTACTTTATTGATGGCCAAGAAAAAAAAAACATATACCATGAAAAAAAGTGAGTTAGTTAATTTCTTAAATCCATATCTCAGAATGCACAGTTTGGATTCTAAAATCCTAGAAATGACGTATTTTATTTAAGAGCTCCTTATTTAAGCTAATCTCTTAGTACATCTCTTAGTACATCAGTACATCATACGTAATGCCTGATGTCACAAATCCAGATGTAATCAGGAAAAAGTCAATGGTATTCAAGAGACTTCTATTATTACTTAATATTTATTGGATATCCTGGAAATGGTAGGTTACAAATAACCTTTGTAGAACTTACTCATGGCTATGTACATTTTTTCACCTATAAAGCCTCTCAATTACTCATGACTGTGACAAAGATAATTTTAATTATACACGTCGCTTTGAAATGCTTAAGAAATTTGTCAACCAGGGGTGATTTTCCTAATAACTTATTTTAAAGATCCTCCTCCAAAAATATTATCACCCTGGTGGAACTTTGGAAATATGATGCTTGAGTATGTTCAAGGTCTTATAAAGGAGCTTGCCTTGAGGAAAAATCATTCTGGTTTTTCTACAATGTTCTGCCAGTGGATTGTAAAGAGGTAACTAAATAACTTGCCTCCAACCTAAAGGCACTTAGTGTGGGAACTAGTTGGTGGAGAAGCATTCCATGACCCCAGGTCTAGAAGCCACCTGTGAGACTATTTCCCTTAAGCTGGCCAAAATCCAGAGCATTTGGGGAGGGTTGACCTAGAAAGCACTTTTTATTTTTTTTTATTTTTTGAGACAGAGTCTCACTTTGTTGCCCAGGCTAGAGTGCCGTGGTGTCAAGCCTAGCTCACAGCAACCTCCAACTCCTGGGCTCAAGCAATCCTTCTGCCTCAGCCTCCCGAGTAGCAGGGACTACAGGCATGCGCCACCATGCTCAGCTAATTTTTTCTGTATATTTTTAGTTGACCAATTAATTTCTTTCTATTTTTAGTAGAGGTGGGGGTCTCGCTCTTGCTCAGGCTGGTTTTGAACTCCTGACCTTGAATGATCCAGCCGTCTTGGCCTCCCAGAGTGCTAAGAGAGCACTTTTTAAATGCACATTTAGAAGTATATATATAATTTTAACAACTCATTGGTATCCAGAGATCTAACTCACTATTACTCTTCCTCCCTCCATAAAGCTTCTAGCCCCCTAATTTCTAACAGGAGGGACTTGCTCCTGTTAGCCATAGTTTCCTTCTCTACTTTCCTTGCTGTTTACAACTTATATGTCTTGGGGGACTTAAAAGGTTTAGTATAAAAACTGTCAAAAAACTGGAAAAAGAAGCAAGCTGACCACCAAGCTATTCATCTCCATGACACCAAGCAGCATCCAATCGGGAACCCAAGGCAGAAGGCAGCTGTGTAACATGTCACAAACTTATAGGTGCAAACAAGGTAGGGGAAAGGCTTTCTAATTTTTGTTATCTAATTTAACTACCTTCCTTACCAGATCAGTTTACTGCCTAGGGGAATCTGCTTCTAAATATTTTCTCATCAGCCTGAAACCTTTTCCATGATTCACTTCTGAAGATGAAGAATGTGTTTAGTTCTCATTCTCTCCCCTTCTCTCTGTTTCTGTCTTTCTCTGCTTTTCTCTCTTCCTCTCTTTCCCCCTCCTTCACTTTCCTCCTTCCACACAGGCTTAAGGAAGGAGAAAGTAAAATGTAATTTATTTAATAGATGTTTATGAATCTCCCCAACACTACGCAAAATAAAATTAGCAGTTTATATGCTAGTAATTCCTAATTTTTCTGAACAATTTAATGATAACCATTATCATTAAATAGAAAAAGAATTGTCCAGAAGGAATTGAAATAGAAGAGAGAATGTCTAATGGGAGGAAGATTGGAGAATGCATTGCTCAGGGCTTGATTTTAGCTCTGAGTAGGAAGAAAAATGCTGTGAAGAGAATAGTCACCGGCTGTGACATCAAATGAAAGGGAGGCACCCCAAGGAAAAGAGGGTGCTCACCGTGGGGCCAGTCCTGGGCAAAATGATGGTCTCCACATATTCAATACATTCAGTGCATTTTGGTGGCTACCTGCTACTGAGCTGGCAGAAAATTGAAGACAGAAGTTCTGACATTATTCCTGCCACCCCAAGTTCCTACACCAAAGCTTATGAGTTTGTATCCTGTTAAAATATAATTAGGACAAACTGAGAGGACTTTGAGAATGAATATAGTAGAACAGGAGTATTCTAGTACATATTAATAACTGGACTTCTGAAAAACGATCCCCTGATCCAGTAGCATCTGTTGATTTCTTGGGTGTAAACACTCCCATCATTGCTGGTTTCAAGCTACAACTGTATTACTGAATGCAAAGTTGGCAACAAATGCACTCAGTCGGCTCCTGTAAGCTGGTGAGAGCCCAGGTCTCTGGGAACCACAAGGAAGGAGGACAAGTTCCTTTGTATGGAAAAAAGGAAGAAGGAGAAACCAGGTTGATTTTAAACCGCAAGGCTTGTAAGAAGCACGCGGCTTCTTGCTTTCTCCATATACTCTCCTTATAAACCTTTCTGGTAACCACTGAGAACCAATTCTAGCCTTTAAGCCTTACTCTTGGCATTGTTGATTGACTGAAGCAGGTGATAGCAATATTACCATAAGAACCTGGTGACTTCTATTTAAAATAACTCATTCGAATTTCATTTTGAAAAAGAAAAAAAGGAATTGACAATTTACAAAAAGAATCTGTTTATTTCTCTGGGTGAACTTTTATATAACCTCTACTGTCACAAACACATTTATAACTTCCAGTTGGTAAAGATGACAATGAGGGTTTCATGTGCCATTTGATTGAAACTTGAATCTGTGGTAAAGAAGAGGTATAAATATTTTGCTTACCAGTTCTGGATGAAAGACGGAAGCTGATTTATGCAGCCATTTTAGCCCTTTGTTTCTGTTATCACAAGAGTGCAGCCTTAGGGCTCCTTTATCAGGGATGGGGGCCAAGCACCATTCTTCATGTTTAATAAGTCTTAACCACGTGTAATTAAATTGTTGAAGCTGTGGGGGAAATGAATAAAAAGAAGGTCATTTCAGGCAACAAACACAGGCAGGGGCTTTGTCAAACATTTTTGATAGTAACGGTTAGTAATATGGGCCTTATAATCTGACATTTTTTATTCAAGTCCTGGTACTATCACTTTTAGTTCTGATAGGATGGGCATATTATTTACCCTGTCAAATCTCATTTTTCTTATTTTAAGGTGGACAGAAATTGTACCTATCTCAGAAGGTTGGGGTAATGACCGTCAAGTACTTAGTACACTGTAAGCCCTCAAGAAATGCTGGTTGCAATAATAAAAATTATTTAGTATAATTAGTACATATGTGTATATGGATGTCATTTCAGGTGTTCTAAAGACAACCCTGGTGCTTAAAGTATTGGAATGTTCAAAAGACCTCATGATTAAGGTTCCAAGCCAGGGGTAGCTCCAGGGAAATCCCAATCACAGCCCTGTGGAAATTATTATCCTTCCTTGATTAACACTATCTAGACAATTGTACTCCCAGAGACTTTGTTCTTTTGTAGGAAAGGTTAATATCTTTCTTTGCTAATAGCACAAGGAATCATCATGTTGCCTCCAGGTTAGCGTCCTCCAGTTTGTAGAACTGCTCTTGGAGACATCCAGTTTTAGAAAGTTGCCAGGATCTAAAGCAGATACCCGTTCAGGTAGTGAAACCATGTTTTGAATCCTTAAAAATATTTTCTTTAGCTATTTAAAACCTAGTATTATCTGCCTGGTCAATTTAAGGCTCTGGGTCTGTGGGAATTTGGCTTTTTTTTTATACTAATATGAACATATTTGGGGAAAAAATAGATTGTTGGTAAAATCTATCTAAATGCCTCTACCTAAGGAATCATTTGTAATGTAAGGTTTAACTTTGATTGTCAGGTTAAATTAAAGTTATTGTGTCGGACCTTGACACTCAAAAGGTAGTCCCTGGATCAACATAAGCATCACCTGGGAACTAGTTAGAAAACCTGAGTCTCAGCACATCACAGACCTACAGATTCAGAATCTGCATTGTAACAAACTGCCACATTAAAATTTGAGAAGCATGAACGTATGGCATATTATTCAGAGACTATGTGCTACTAAGGGAAACTAGATATTACCTTGCAAAAGGACATCTCAACTGACTTAAAAGTTAAAAATTAAGGAGACATTTTAGTTACAAGGTAAGGGATAGGGCTTGATGGTTCAGTCTAAAGTTTTATTTCTATTGAGCTTTTTTTGGATGAATGCTATAGCCACTGGCTTAGTATGAAGGCTCATTAATTCTGCCAAAACCAAATCATAAGAGGTAGAAGCTAAAAATGAGCAATGAGATAAAAAGGAGATGGAGCTTTGTGGAAGGCAGAGGCTTATAATTCATACTTTTGCCTCCTAGCATCCCCTAGAGAGACTCAAAGGTTACCAAGAACAGAACTTGTGTTTTCAAATGAAATATTTATTACTCAGGCACAAAAAGTCCTGACAATGATGAGTCCTGAAAGATTGCAGTATTTAATAAATTTTTTCATATAATTTGGACTAATTGTGGTTTTGTTTTACAATTTATGACTTTATTTCCTCTTTGAATTCTTAATAAGTGAAAGTTATTTCTGGCAATTGATTTTTTTGACACTTTTCATTTCCTCGTGTCTCCTCTCTTTCCTAATTAAGAAAGAGTTCCATTGCTTTTAGGTTTACAATCCATAGCTGAATTACAGCAATGCAAATACTTTTTCTTCTAGTAGCAGCTCTTAATTAAGAGGTAGAGATGGGATGTACTAAAAAATGTAAGCAATATCTCTAAGTCAAAACAAAGAAGTAAGACTTGTCAAGCCTAGATAATCATTGCAAAATCATTTCTCTAGCAAAGGGTGTTCTGCAACTTTGGAGGCTAATTTCTACTCACAAATCAATGTTCCTGTGAGTCCTATCTGGCACTCAAACCAAATGACTGTTTCCACAGAACATAGAACTGTTAGGAAACATATGTTGGAGAGAGAAGTGTGATCACTCAGAGCTTCTCTCCAGCATGGTGGAAGGAATCCCTGTTCTGTGCTCCCTGGCCTTACTCCCTCTCCTAACTATTGTGCTCAGAGGTTGCGGGAGTTTTGATGTGGAGATTTCTGCCATGGATCATGGATTATGTGATTTTTATTCTCCTTTAAGATGCAGCAGAATGGGAGGAAAAGGGGATGAAATCAGAGAATAAAATTGCTCCATTAAAATGATTACTTAGAAATATGTTCTTTCTTTATTTTCTTCATATGTTATGGATTTCCCCCATTTTGTCTTTATTATTATTGCAGCCAACACTTATGGAGCACTAAGCTTTAGGTATTGTTCTATGTGCTTCATACATATTACCTAATCCCAACCTCACACCAGTTCTAGAGGCAGGCACTCTTATAACTACCATTTACCCAAAGGTCAAGAACTTTGCAAAATTAGCACACTTTTACAAATGACAGAGCCAGGATGGATCCAGTGGGGGGACTTCAAGACCCATACCTTTACTCATTTAGTCACTATCTTTGCACCCTCTTCTCACTGGCCTTATGATTATATAGAAACTGAGAGATTATGTATTTCTACTGGGAAAACATGACTTTCTCAATTGAACAATGAATGTGTCGTACCCTGTACCTATCATCTACCATGAGATAGAAAACCCCAGCTTAGCATACCTTGCTGCTCCCATCGCAGTCTTCCAGAATGGCTGTAGTGTTTCCAATGGAAATACATTTACCCAAGGCCACATTAATAAGCTAGGAAGCAAAATATAAAATACAAATCACAAAAACGTTTTTTTTCAAGTAGAACAAGATATGCAGACACATTTAGAAAACACAGAATATAAAATTAGCATGAGGTTAAAAGATAGTTAATAGCTTAGCCTTACTTAGCACTGTACGATTTTATTGGTTGCCATCTCTAACAGAGACATAATGTAATCTTGCTAAAGTACAGCTTCAATCTGTCAACTTAGGCCTGTGATTCAGCCACAGCTCCAACAAACAGAAGCTTTTAATTAACCCTTGCCTGGAATGCTGAACAACGAATGAGCAAAAGGTGGCATGAAAAGTAGTTATTTTCTTGTTTTAAGTTTATCTAATGCATATATTAAAAGTCAATGCAAATACTTGCAATTTAATTGAAACAAGAGTTAAGGGTTATGTTCCCTGGCTGACCCCTTCAAGCTCTTTGAATGCTTAGGCACTGAATCATGGATAGATTGAGTCCTTCAAAGAATAGCAATTTCCATCTGATTCCCTGTCAGAATCTTCCTAATGTCTCAAGCAAGCTACAATTCATTACGGGAAAGTCATGAAAGCTAATAAAAAGCCAAGAGTTAAAGGTACTTTCTGGCAGGCCCCCAGGTTTTTAATGGATTCACAGGGTCAAATATGGACGGAACTTTCTATAAGTCACCATTTAATACAGAAAAATGTTCATTTCCTTGTCCCCTTTGACATTCTGTGCAGGGCTAATGAGATGGTGGGTTAATAGTGCAATTTAGGCCTTTCGGATTTCCAAGACAAGCTATGCAGAGCTGAATCTATATTATATATCCCAGGAAAGCTCCCTGAGCTGGGAGGTAGTGAGTTCTTTGTTACCAGGGATACTATTTCTGCTACTTCCTGTTCTATGGTGCCTAACAAAGAGCTCTAACTCTGCTAACTCTGGAGTGGAGTGCTGCTCTGATGCAGGCTGTGACACTCACAGCATTTCCAGACTTCATAACCAGGTGCTCGGTGGGTTGGTCCTCACTTTCATATTGTAGCTTAGCTTGTAAGAAACTAAGGGCCATCTTCAGGGACCAGAAAATGCAGAAAAAACTAAAGGTGAGATAGAAAACTACAAATGTTGTTAAGAAAGGGACTTGTCCTCTCATAAAGATGGGAGGCCTGGATGAGCCAGAGAGTTGGAATTGAGGTCTTCCATGAAAAGGTGGAAAACTAAAGAGTTAGACCTTCAGTGGAATGGTGTATTCGGAAAAACAATTTACTCATTAGCAAAGAGAGACAACAGAGAAGCTACAGTCTCCCTGGGAATCTGAAACCTTACATAGACCTTAATTTGAGTGTGAGGTGAAAATTTATATTAATACTACTTGCATTGCATAGGAATTCTCAAAGACCTTAAAGGCACAGAAACAAACATTAAAAATAGTACCAGACTGGTAACTGTTGAGGTTCCTGGCACAAAAAAACATGAAGCAATTCTAAGAAGGAATCTCCATCAAAAAACCCCAAAGAATGCTCTATTCACAATTAAAAATGACAAATATGGAAGGAAACAATTCATCCTTAGTAAATGTGAACATCACAATGCACAGAAGAATTCAATCGCTGTGAACTTCAGAGAGGAAAGTGAAATGCATGAAGATAGAATCGAGTTTAAAGAAAGAAATTGAGCCCCAATTGTTCTCTCGATCTTAGCAGAGATAAATATAAGCTCCTGTATTTCTGGATCATGCAGAAAAGATTCTGTCTTCAAACAAGTTTGGAGCACTGTGGTTTTCAACATTGCTGAGCAGGTGGGCCTGCCCTGGAATTTCTCAGAACCTTCAGAGTGTTAATGTTCAGCTTTCTGCTCAGAATGTAACGCGAGTGTTTCCCAAATTTACCTCAGCATGGAACACTGTGGTGGCACAACTAACACTATTCAGAATGGTGTTTGGAATCCCCTGGTTTAACTGATTTCTTTGTGTTTATTTTGTACAATCCCTTTCTTCAAGGACCAAAAAGCATTGGAAGGAAAAAGGAAATTTTCTGTCCCTTATGTCTACCTCTGCCCCTTCATCTGGAGATGTTTCACTTTATCAGAAATTACAGGGGAAACTACTTTTTTAAAAAATAGAAATGGTCTGTGGAGTGCTAAGGAGTTGTTATTCTTCATTTTGTTATGAATGGTTTTTAAAATTTTTCATTTTTTTAAAAAAAAATTGTACCCATGTTTTAATTGTCAACCATGTCAGCCTTTTAAAAAATCAGATAGTATATGCATTTTAAATTATCTATGTTGAGTTATTTCATTTTCTAGGTTAGAAGGTGGGAATTCCCCAGTTTATCATGGAATTTGTAAACATTATGCTATACAGACTGTTCACTAACAGTTTAATCCTAATGTAAAAATACATTTTTGGTGAGGTTTTTAAAATTAGTTTCAAATATTTTGGCTCAATAAGAAATTATTTGTTCTCATTAAAAACAAACACAACAATTTTCACTGGATTTAAATTCCTAAATAAATTCAAAAGGTTGAAAGAAGGGAAATGAAGCAAGTAGCCAAAAGAAATTATGGAATTTACTTTCTTGGAAATTTTCAGGGTTGTCTATCCAAAATAGACAATAGTTATTCTGAGTTACTTGGAGAAAAGTCCTAATTTTTTTTTTAAATGGTAATAATGCTCCCTACTGGTGGCTTCAGAAAGGAACAAATAGATCTTTATTCAAATTTGTCCAAGGAAGGCAACAAATAGCAAGGAAAATAAAAGAAATTAATTTGTGAAAATCATTTAAAAATACTTGCTATATTTCGATATATTATAGTTCAGGCATCAGCAAAAGGCTGTTTCATCGGGAGAGTGCCTCAAAAATTTCGTGGGAAGTCTTTTATATAAGTTAGCGTCATGGTGGAACCAAAAGGTAGTTTTTTAGTTCCCTCTGGTGGTTAAAGTTTAGTAATGCTCTTGCTGAGATTCTGTCACATTAGGATGGGAAAAAATTACTAATGAGAATTCTTTGAATTCTTTTTTTCTTTTTCCTGCTCAGGGGTTTGAATTAAAAAAACATAAATTTGTTTTACAGATATATTTAATGTTTTATTATTTGAACAGTATATATAAATCCAAGGTGTTTGATAAAGTATCAGATGGAGCCGTAGCTGCTCTTCTATTTGGACCTATAAACATGGCAATTTTATAATATATTATGTTACATGATAAACAGGTCATATATACTTATTTATCAGTTGAATTTTATAAAAAAAACAAACAAACAGATTTTCAGGCTGATTTCCTGTCTTTCACACCCTTCTTGGACTTTCCTAATCCTGTCAAAGGGATGTTTTTTCTAAGTCCCTGTTTTCAGGAGATTTGCCAGGCAGAGAGAGTAGATAGTTCGTATAATCCACATCCTGGAAAGAACTGAAAAAACCTGGCCTAAAAGGGCAGGCTTACTAATGGCCAAGTTGGAGACTATCTTGAATAAAGAAAAAGGAAACATTGAAAGAAAACAAAGAACACTAGGAATACTTATCAGTAAAAATTAAATTGGAAATAAATGAGATTAGAAATAAACATGATAGGGAGGAGCCCCAGGCAAGGGACTTACAAAACCATCTTTAAACCCATTCTGTGGTAAATGCCTCACATCTAACCGCCCTCTTCCCGTGAAGCTTCATTCCTACAGTGGTTTTGAAATGGCTTCTTCCCGCATCTCCTCTTCCTTGATTTTTTTAGCCTTGTACTCATCCAACCTATCTGGCTTAGCTTCTTCCCTTTTAAGTACCTTGTATCGTGCCCTGGAATTTTATTTGCTATTCTCTAACAATTTCTGTTGTTTTCAAACCCCTCTTTGAAGTCTTTACAAACCCAAATTTAATCTTGTCATCCCCTTGCTTAGCCCTCAATCACTTCTCATTACATTCAGAAGAAGGAAGGAAGGAATGAAGGAAGGAAGAAAAGATAATCCTTACTTGCCTACAAGGACCTGTAGCTCTGACTCCTTCCTTCCTCTCCACCTTCATCTAGACCAGCAGTCCCCAACCTTTTTGGCACCAGGGACTGTTTTCATGGAAGACAATTTTTCCATGGACCAGGAAGGGGGGATGGTTTCAGGATGATTCAAGCACATTACATTTATGGTGTACTTTATTTCTATTATTATTACATTGTAATATATAATGAAATAATTATACAACTCACCGTAGGTTGGGGACCCCCAATCTAGACCATCCGTCACACCCTGACAACAACGTTTATCTTTCTAGCTCTTGAATGCCTTAAACTTTCACCTGTCTCAGAGTTTTATATCTCCTGCATACTCTGTCTAGTGCTCTCTTCTTTAGAGCTTAGTTAACACTTACTGTTTCAGGCCTGTATTGCAAAGTCTCCTCCTCAGAGAAGATTTCTTGGCCACTCTAAATGAGGATTCATCACTGTGACCTGTTCCCTAAATGAGAGCTATTATATTCTGTATTTACCCTTTAATTGCTTATTTGTTTCTTTCTTCCCTACTTAACTTTAAGCTCCTATGTGATCCAAATCTGAAATACTGCCTGGTCTATTGCTACTCAATAGGTAGCCGTAGAATTAATCCATGGACATGACCACCTAATCTTTCTCAAGTCTACCTATATTTAATTCTCAACCATGCTTTGTCCCATTGGAATTCATACTTGGCATTTATTCATAATATAACAATTCTTCCTTTCTACCTGTTTTTGAAAGCTTTTGTGTTTTGTTTTTATGGAGTAAGATTTTTAAATTGCCACTTGAACTTACCACACCACTAGCTCTCACAATGGGAGCCTTTAAGTCTGGAAAGACATTCTCCAAGTACCATTTGAAACTTTTGCATTTCAGTTTCTTTCGCAGTTCCCTTTGCTGAGTGAGGTTGCCGACATCTAAGCCTTGGTCTATGAGGTGGTCCCCGTGGCCATAGAACAGCTCCTTGTATTCGTCCAGCCAGACCTCAGCAACCCGCACCAAGTTCCGTTCCACTGTCTTCATCCGGTCTTTGGGGAAGGAGTATGGATTGTCATTTCTGAATATGTGGCCCACTCGGGAACAGGGGATGATCTCAATCTCGCCACCACACATCCACACCTGAAACAATTTAATGATAAGCATCAATTACCAAGTGATTGTTCACAAATCATGGGCAATTAGCAATGACAAAAAAACCACCTGGTAACTTTGTTCCCACTGCTTGAAGTAGGACCATTTTAAGATTAGTAAAACATAATGTTTTCCTTTGCTACTCTTCAGTATAAATTGTTTTTTCCCTAAAGAAATCTTCACAGAATCTCACCGGGTAAAATATATGAGTTCCTCTTTTGGTTCAAACAGTGAAAAAAAGTATGGATGTCCATTTGTTCACCTTCCCTTTCTCTCATCTTGGAGACATCCAAAAAGCTTGTGGCGCAAAACTTAAAAACCATTCTCCTTGATCAGAAGCTCCAAAATTACACCCCTTTTAATATAAACCATCCAACCCCATAGGAAAGCAGTTGCTTTTCGGATGCTCTCTACTGCTGCTGTTGCTAGGGCTTTCTTAGACATTAATCAAAGACTGTATACATGACTGTAGAAAGTTTCCAAAGAAGCTATACTATGGGCCTCTTGGTGGCCTGCTCTAGAAGTACTGCTCTAGAAGTACTTCTGTCTTTTATGTTTTCCAAGATGATCCATTGAGGAATGCTTCCATTCCTTCCAATATATTAGAGAGATATTTCAGGAGAGTTATTTTGTGTCAAGTATGAATTCCATGGCATTTATACTGAAAGACAGAAAGTTATTACCCCCATATTTAAAAGCAGAAATGGTGCTGCAAAATATTAGGGAACTCTAATAAATGTCATGACAGCAATTGATTCCTCTGTATTCAGTCTGTGATATGAAAAAATTAATCCAGAGACCCTAAAATTTCTGTGAAATGTACTCTCAGTGGCAGTCACATATCTGATTGTACCAGTAAAATGAAACAACTTAAAAATGATAAACTCTTAATGGCAAAGAAAATTTGAGAAACACTTGCTAATACCTTGAATGAGAGCTCCATATTTTCTCCACCCCAAACATCAAGGCCAGGATCATATGTTCCAAGTTCAAAAAAGTAATTTTTGTCAATAGAAAATAATCCACCAGCCATGACAGGGCACCTACAAAGAGAAAAGTTTGTTTTTAAAATTTACATCTCATGAAAGCTCAACTTTTCAAGTTGATGCTCTATACATTTGTGTTGAAGGTAGGAGGTGTTTCAGAAACACTACAATGTGTAAGTAGGTATGGAGATGAGAGTGTGTAAGTGACAAGTTCCCTAGTTTATGGTGGCAGAGCTTGATTAGCATCAGCAAAGATGCAGCCTGGAACTAGGATTCTTATTTTTCCTTTGTACTGTAACACAGACTCTTCAGGGTTGTTATTTTTAACAATTCTTATTCAGGGGTGAGGGAATACCAGGCATCGTTGTAAGTATTATATACATATTATTCTAGACTTCACAAAAATCTTGTGAGTTTGTACCATTATTAAGAATCTGCAACATGGGGCAGATGCAGTGGCTCACGCCTGTAATCCTAGCACTCTGGGAAGCCAAGGCCAGAGGACCGCTCCTGACCCTGTTTGGGTCAGGAGTCCCAAACAGACCTGAGCAAGAGCGAGACCCCGTCTCTACTAAAAATAGAAAGAAATTAATTGGCTAACTAAAAATATATAGAAAAAATTAGCCGGGCATTGTGGCGCATGCCTGTAGTCCCAGCTACTCGGGAGGCTGAGGCAGGAGGATTACTTGAGCCTAGAAGTTTGAGGTTGCCGTGAGCTAGGCTGACGCCACAACACTCTAGCCCAGGCAACAGAATGAGACTCTGTCTCAAAAAAAAAAAAAAAAAAATGAATCTGCAACATGGAGAAGGTAAGAAACTTTCCTAAGGACACCAGACTAGGATGCTATCCATCTTGTGTTCATGCTAGGCAATCTGACTTGACTCTACGCTCTCTCATTCACTATATTGCCTCTCAACCACAAACTTTACCAACAGCTTTTTATGTGGCAGGCAATTTTAAAGCACTTCATATATACTATCTGATTAAATTCTCAAAACAGTCTAGGCAGTAGCTACTTCTATTAGTCTTCATGTAAAACTAAGGAAACAGATACTCAAAGTGGTTAAGCAAGCTTTTCAAGTTCATACCACTAGTAAGTGGTAGAGTTGAGATTCAAATCTGACTCCAGAGCCTTCACGACCACTACTGATCATGGATGATAGAAACTATATTTTAGTCAGCAGTCAGGCAAGGCAGTAAGCACTTCCCACGGTGGTCTCCACTGAACCAGGTGAAAGTGGAGTCTGTGGCGAGCCTGCTTTGTGTTCTGGATATTGGGCAATCTCAAGGATGATTCCTGCTCTGTACCTGTCTCCCTTCCTCCATCATTTATGTCCATGCCCTTTCTGTATCCCAGTTGTCCTCACCAGACCACCCAGAATATATTCTTTTCATAATATTATGTTCAATATAGTCTGAACTAATCACTATATTAAGAAGTGGTAGAACCTCCGCTTTACTCCCTGGGGGTATCAATTTTGAACAGGGAGTGCTCAGGACTCCTGCTGCTCTGCCTGTGGCTGGCTGAGTGTCTGTCCTGCAGCCCCGGATTCTGGGGAAGGAATAGGAAGCCGCCATTTTGGCTTCAGGTAGAAGCTGTGTTTTTCAATCCAGTTTCTCCAGGGACAAAGCCCACATTTTAATTCACATCCAGCTTCTGTGTCTATTTCTTAATTCACAGAATTTGTTACCTTTCCCATGGAGGGTGTAGGATTAGACTGTAAAAGAAAATCCTAAGAGTTATTTTTATTAATTACTTTTAATTTTTACTTATGTTTACTTTAATATTATGTGTATTTATATTATATTTATGCAGTACATTCAACTAGTTTGTGTTTCTTAGGTTATAAATCCAGGAAACAGTATGGTATTAGTAAATTTCTCTAGGTTCAGGGCTAAATAGGGTACAACTGGACATTTAATAATAAGTTTTGGTAGTGGGAAACTAATTTCTCACGAAAATTGTGTTTGGTTTGGCAACCTTTTGGCTAGAACTGTAATTCTTGATGTTCTATGGAATGACAGGATACAGTTGTTTTGTAGAACTTTTTTTACACCTTTACAAAAGACACATGACTGCTTTCTAGCCTTAAATTTCACACACTTACCTTATTATATCAGTTTCTTTAATTTTATTTTTTGCAACAACATCTGGAGGAATTGTTCTCCAACCAAAGTTCATGGGCCACACAAAGATGCCTCTTTGGAAGTTGTCCACTGTCATGTAACTAATCCAGGAAAAAAAAAAGTGCTACTTGAGATTATATACATCTTTATATATTTCATCAACTTGGCTCCATGATGTATTTAAATGAATTAAACAAGCACTTAAGCAGATGTTTTTAGATCATTGCTTTTTAAGAACAGTTCAAAAAGATTATGAATACAATTTGCATTGGTGACTAATTGGCTGGATTGCTCACATTGAACTTATTCATTTCTTTCAATAATATCTTGGCCATATTTGAGGAAAGAATACAACAACTTAGGAGCACATATATATTTCCCATAGGAAGAAGAAGAAGTAAATTTGAGGAAAATACCTATTTCGGAGTTCAGCTAAATATAAAAAGGGAAAAGTAGATAATGAGTATGAGGATTTATTGATATTTAGAGTTAACAATTTGTGGTGACTAAATAGACTATTGGATGACAGGCCATGATCCCAAGATACTTATAGTGTATTGACATTTATTTAAGTTGATAACTCTATATTTAAAAAATTTTCAAAACTGCACATATTCAGAGTATAACTAGCACTTTGTGCTGCTTGTGGTTAAAGGTGTACTTATCTTGTGGAATGTAGCAATACTACCTCATATCTTTATCATTGATGACTTCAATTACGGGACAGGCTACCTTCTTTCTACTTAAATAAACTCTTTCCAGTAGAGGTTCCAACCAACCAACATTACATTCCACGTGAGAGTCTAAAAACGTCAGTACATCACCTAGAGAGCCAAAAAGAAAAAAAGAAAACACACACACACATGAAAATACAATACATTGGAGATGTGTACTTCATGTTCAGAGATACTGAGGATTGCTCTAGAAATGTGCTGTAAAGGCAGTGGACTTTTTTTTTTGTCTTTGAATTTCTGGTCCCTATAATTTCATTACATAATGAAATGGAAGAAACTTTATTCCTAGGAGTTTTGTGGGGCAAGCATAATTTATGTTTGGAAAAAATTGATAAGCTTCTTAGTATGGGTAACAGGAATCTAAAGGGAATACTTCGTATCCAAGGCAGTTGCTGAAGTCCCTTTTAAGAGGGTAGGTTTCAATAAATCTGGGGGTGCAGGATGTGGGATTTTGTGTTTCAAAAGAACAGAGAGAATTTGAGATTATAAATTTGACCTCAGGAATGATGAAGAGGGAAAATCACATAATAGAAGTGAAAGGAAATTAGAGTAACCAGCAAGACTAGGAGGTACTGTTAAAAGATTTACTGGAGAGGGGAGTAGGGGAGATGTTATTTAATGAGTACAGAGTTTTTTGCAAGATGAAGATAGTTCTGGAGATTGCACAGAAATGTGAATGTACTTTCTGCTGAACTGTTCACTTAAAAAATGGTTATGATGGTAAATTGTATATGGGTTTACAATATGTAGGCAAAAAAAAAAAAATGTTACAGGAGAAAAAAAAGGAAAAAAACTTGGAAGCCAGAAGTATTTATTAAGACCTTTTTTTTCCCTGTTAGTTGTGCAAAGTAACATGCTCCCTCTCTCTCCAATGACACCTCAGTAGCATCTATATTGCTCCAGGTCATCTTATACAAGTGGAGAAAGAGAGAGTGTGTGTGTGTTTGTGTAGTGTGTGTGTGATTAATAATAATGTGAGAAATCAGCCCTGGCCCAAATCCTGTGTGTAATCTTTCAGGTCCAACCACAGGTAATTACAAAGGCTTTACCTGGCAGGCCTCTTGAGGGAAAACTGCCCTCCCACCCAGTCTTGGTGCCCAGCCGGTGTGTGGCAGTCAAGGGCTCAGGACCTCCCTCACCTCCACCAGCCAGTCTTGCTCTTATGTGCATCTGTATTCCTAGCCCAGGTACCTTCATTCAGAAACCTCTCTCAGGCCAAAGCCTCTGCTAAGACCACCTTATTGGAGATGGAATGGCGTTGAAGAATTTTTCCTCCACTCTGAGTCAGTGTTCAGTGTTTTCTCACTCCTAGCCCTTCCCTCCTCATGCTCTGGGTCCTGGGGCCATAAAAATGGAGGAGCCTTTTGTTCTGGGTTCCTTGGGAAGGCTAGGAGATGATCCTCCTGTCTGCTCTGCTCTGATCCACCATCTAGTGAAATTCCATGGGGAAACAAAGGGAACATTGAAGAAGCCAGCACTTTTTCCTCTTCAGCCTCTTACTGATACTGCTGCAGTAAACGATTAAGACTTGACTATGACTTTCATTTTGGCTTATTGTTATAAATTCACTGCACTAATCCCCGGCTGTTCAGCTTGGTTCTTGACAAACCTATAACATCAGTTATCATCTATTAAATGCTCATTCTATGACAAACTCTGTCCTAAGCATTCTTCTACATGAATGTTTTATTTAGTCCTTACAACAAACCTGTAGTATAGGACTAATTTTTTGATCCCATTAAGGAGGCAAAGAAACTGAGAAACAAGAACTTAGATAACTTTTGTAATGTTGCATTGCACAGCTATTAAGTGGCATTGTGATATGGAAAGCAGGTACCTTATTCCAAAGATTATGTTTCTTAAAAAAAAAAAATGCCAGAAAGAGGCAGAACATTGAGTATGGGAGGGTTTAAAGAACAAGATGAGAATAGTTAATCTGGATAATCACTGAAATCTGTAAGCTACCTTTCAATTAATACAGTTCAGCATTGTCCTAATCACCTGGTCAGCAATGAAATTTTTGCATGACAGTGCAGATTCTTGAGAAGTCTCTTTAACAGAACCATCTGTGCTAGGCAGAAGGAGCCCTGTAGTCTCCTGCTCCTAGAGATAGCAGCTGCGTCTCCGGTTCATGCTGTAGAGGGTCCTGTTTTCAGGGCAGTATAGCTTGTTTGATAATGAAAGGTTATTGTTCTCTGCTATAGTCTGAATGTATGTGTCAACCCCAAATTCATGTGTTCAAACCTAACTCCCAAGATGACAGTATTAAGAGGTAGAATATTTGGAAGGTGATTAGACCACTATGGGGGCAGAGCCCTCATAAATGAGATTAATGCCCTTATAAAAGAGGCTGGCGGGAACTTATGAGCCTCTTTTGCCCTTCAGGCATGTGAGGACACAGCAATAAAGTACCATCTTTATAGTGGAGAGAGAGTCCTCATTAGACACACTGATCTTCTAGTACCTTGATCTTGGACTTCCTAGCCTCCAAAGCTGTGAGCAATACACGCATGCTGTTTATAAGTTACTCAGTCTAAGGCATTTCATTATAGCAGCCCAGATGGAGTAAGACATCCCCCAAAGGTGTCCTCTTGCACAGCCATCTCCCATCATGGGAAGTCTCATAGGGTCATGTAGATGTATGGGGCATGTGCGAATGGTCTGCTAAGGTCCACCTGGATAGTGGAATAGAATGTGCCAAAGACAGTTTCCTTTCTCTCACCACTCCTACTTGTGGTTCATTCAGACCCAGAGTTTAAAGAGTAGTCTTTACTACACCATCTGTCCCTATCCACATAGCAGGCTTATGGGGTCAAGGGGGCCTGAAATAACTTCCCAAGTCCCCAGTAGCAGCAGGATGGGTCCCCAAACCTGCATTCACTTCCCACCTGGCCCAGATCCCTACAAAAATTCTCATTCATTTGTTGCCAGGACCTGAGGGAAGCAGCATCTGCTCAAGACATAGTCTGGAATTTTACATTGTTTTATTTTGGGGAAGAGGAGAATCCTCCTATGCGTGCATGCCATTGCTCTACTTTCAGACATTTTATTTTAAAATAAGAACTCAGAACTGTGTTAGGTAAGAAAATAGGGAGCTCTCTGTGTAGCTGACTCTTGGTGGAATTTCTCAGAGTGGTGCTATTGTCTATGGACATTGTACATATTGTTCCTGATCCTGAGAGGCTGAGAGGCATGGTGGAATGAGCATAGGACTGAAGTTACACACAACTGCCTTTAATCCCAGCTCTGTTTTCCCTAGCCACACTGGGTAAGTTACTTAACTTCTTTTAGCTTTCTCTTACAGGGACATTTCTAAGATCCACCTAATATCTACATTCATAAAAATATGGCTAGTATTATTTACTGTTTTTCAATAAATGTTTAAGCTCAAATTCAGAATAACCAACCCAACCTTTAAAAAACTTTTTAATTGACACATAATAATTATACATATTTATGGGATATAGAGTGATACATGCAATGTGTAGTGATCAAATCAGGGTAATTAGCATATTCATCACCTCTAACATTTATCATTTCTCTGTCCTGGGAACATTCAAAATCCTCTCTTCTAGCTATTTAAAAATATTAATATATGATAAATTATTGTTAACTAAGTGCCGAAGAACACTAGTGCTGGGAAGGGGCTGGGGGAGAGGTTGGTCAAAGGATATAAAATTACAGCCTATTTTTGATTGTTACCTGGCAGTATTTTCTGTTTCCTAAGAGTAGGTCCCAGTAATACTGAATTGTTTGCAGATGGGTTTCATTGAACTTCAAGAAAAAAAATTGGGAGACAATATAAAGGTGCTCAACGTGCCAAACAGATTTAGGTCTTTGTTGAGGATAGACTTCCCCACTTATATTTAGTTGTTTAGTGTAGAATGTTGGTGTCAGCACCAATTAGTGCTGGAGTGTTATGTTTAGGGTTCTTTGAGGGATGTGGGCCTGGCTTGCCATTTAATTTCACATAATAACTTATAAGGAATGCTACAAAAATCACCTGTTTTACCTGCAGCAGCAACAAGTTGTAGAAGCTTACAGAAGGATGCCCACTATTGTTTTTCAGGAGGACTTGGAGTTGGCCAGGAGTTAGATGTCACTTATTGTCTAGTTACTTAACATTAGTAAACTGATTCTCTGGAATGCTCATAAGAAATATCAAGAATGTTGTTAAATGCTATGTCATGGAGGAAATGAAAATCTGATCTTTACCTTGACAATCAGGAATGGACCCACCTGACTGCAGGCTCCTCTTGGCAGGGTGATATCTCCTTTGTTCTGTTCAACACTAGCAATGGATCCCTTGTTCCCTTCTACTGCACTTACTCTATCTTTTTGCTTCTATTGCCTTCATATAGTGAATTGTTCATAGGGATCCATGGCCTCTGGACTGCCCATCATTTTTTTTTTTTTTTTTTTTTGAGACAGAATCTCACTCTGTTGCCTGGGCTAGAGTGCCGTGGCATCAGCCTAGCTCACAGCAACCTCACACTCCTGGGCTCAAGTAATCTTTCTGCCTCAGCCTCCCGAGTAGCTGGGACTACAGGCATGCGCCACCATACCTGGCTAATTTTTTCTATATATTTTAGTTGGCCAATTAATTTCTTTCTATTTTTAGTAGAAACGGGTTCTCGCTCTTGCTCAGGTTTGTTTTGAACTCCTGATCTTGAGCTATTTTCCTGCCTCGGCCTCCCAGAATGCTAAGATTACAGGTGTGCCACCAGCCACGACGCTTGGTCCAAATTTTGAAACCCTACTTGGGCCTTTCAACCTTCCTCATTCACAGCAAACAATTGGTTGGACCTGAACTCTTGGCCTGAATCGGATCCAGATGAAGAGCTTGGCATGCCCTGGAACCTGAGTGCATAGTGGACATTGTTAAGGTAAGAGAGATTGCTGGTTGGTTCCTTATTATTTTGTAGATGACTCTTTCAGACTTTCAGAGAGCCTGATAGTACCCTGGGACCAAAATGGGCTATTTGACTTCTCTTTCTGCATGTCTTTGTATCTCTGGATCTCATCCTTGCCTGATGCTTCTCTTTTCTTTGCATCCTGAAGGGTAGAGATCTTTAGGGAACAGTAGCTGT